CAAGCAGCACAATGAGTAAGGCATGCAGGAACTGAAAATGCCACAGGCCCATTTACGTACTTTGGTGGCACTTTAGATTGCCTTGAAGTTGGGAGACTTTGTGCATGGTTAACTCTCAGTGCATTCCTTTCCTGCTGTTGCAGACCCCTCCCTTTCACATCAGTTAATTCCTTCTCAGCTTCCTTTTTTACCCCTCCATCTCCATTCAGCAAAGGCTCCAACTTTTTATGAGCTCCATTTTACCCCAGCTTTAAATAATGAAACTCAAACATGTTGGCCAGACTGTTGCATATTACCACTTATTCCACTTTTTCTGCTAACGTTTGTGTGCAACACACTCATTTTATATTTTGTACAGTGAAGTAGCATTAGGCTGGTGATCTAAGCAATGCAGATAAATCTACGTAGAATTCAACAATTCTTGGCCAGAATTACTAATACTGCAGCTAAGCAGCCAGAGGTAGTAGTTGTAACTACAGTAGCACAAAACAAGAGCCAAATAATACTGGAGATAATCTAATCCTGCTGTTTGCTCCTCATCGTGGTCACAGTAATTAATCATTTTAAAAGATGCCCTTCCATGCATGCTACCTTCTTTCCTGTCAGCACAAAACCGCATTCTCTTCTTTCTCAACAACTGATTTTTGCCGAAGATTAAACTTTAATCCAGACATTTTTGTCTTCTGACCTCCCCAGCTGAATTGTGACCTCACAGCAAGAAGATCCCTGCTTAGGTTGCAGTTCCTTTTCTTACGTCAGATAGGAAAGAACTCGACCATGTATTAAAATAGGAGTGTGCGCTAAGTACTCGCTCAGTTTCCTATAGTCACTCCAGGGGCTTTGAGGCAACAATTCCTACCCGATCCAAAGAGAAGGAGCACCTTTCCCCTCGCAGCACAAAATTAGGAGTAACATTTTTGTCCTGTGAATTAGAGCTAAATGTGAGTCAAATTCCAAGGTTGAATTCCCTGGTGAAGGTAATGCTTCGTTGTGATAACTCCAGGTCTCTGGGGGTTTTTTTAATATCAATTTCTGAACTGAAAGTTCTCCATAAAACTTATCTTCATTCTTTCACTTCCTCCAGAAGAAACAAGAGGAACAGGGTACAAATAGAAATGGTAAAGAATGCAGATTTGTTTTCTTCTTGTACGAGGCAAATCCATAAAGTGTAAAAGTTGAACTATCTTTGTATCAGCAGCATGTTGGTTTAGTTCTTTGATGTATACTTCCAAATTAATAGAGCCATGCTGCTGCTTACAGCTGGACATCCCCACTCCCACCAACCTGAGTCACAAACTCTCTCAAACTAAGCCCAGGGTAGAGAGAAAGGATTGTTTCTGCTCATTTAATGCCTTCAGACCAGAAATGCTTGTAACATAATATACTATAAGCCAGTTTGTGGAAACCCTAAATACACTCTTCACTATATAGGCAGAAGCACGCAAACAAAGGCACACTACACCACCATTCATATTCTTGTCAGTACACAATTAGAGCTAACACTATTTTCAAATAAGACAAATAAGATACTTTCTATGAAAGTATATGTCTATATTTCTTTTAACTGAAGATTTATAGTGACATACACTAATGATGTGCCTTTTTAGATGAACCATCACCACTTATAAATCACATCAATTGTTGCTCTACCAACTGTACCGAAATATCTTAAAAATCTTCTTCAGTGAAATTAAAAAATGTTACATAAATAGGTGAAATTCCTCCTGAAGTGTTTTTATTCTTAATTTTGCACAGATGGAACAAAAATGGAAACTCAGCTTCATAGCCTCTATAAGTTTTTTGAAGTTACAGAAGCTACTGATAACTTCCACTTTGCACAAGCAAAGCACTCACCTACTGTTTAAATATTCCCATTTTCCAAGTGCTACACTCAGCAGCAGCACTACAAGATGCATTTACTCAGAACAGTTGATGAAAATACCTTGCATTTAAACGAGATGAAATTACAACTTTGCTTTGTTTGTAAGTTAAAGCAGCCCCCAAATGTTGTCATTAATTCTCTGAGACTGTGCAACACAGCGTCAATTGCCAAATGTTTAACAAGTCAAAAACAAGGAGGTCATTGCTAACTGTGAACATAGTCACATATGTACATACATGAAACAAAGAAAGGCTTATATACAGATTTAACAGATTCACTCTGGATTTCTTACTTAAATCTTCTAGGAAAACCAGCACGATTTATCAATTTCAGTTATCTGACATACTTACAGGGCACACTGCCATTTTTGGACCACCTTTTCTCAATGCTGTATTACACCACATATACAGACTCCCCTATAGTAGGACTACGAATTGCTTCTTTCATTGCCAGTTTGGTTTTTTTCTGGATCAAAAGAACTGCCTTCAAATAACATTTTGTTTCTCATTCCTTCTTTAAGCATTCTTTGCCGAATCCTCTGTTGGGCTAAATTGTACCTGCAGTAAAACCTAGAAAGAGAGACAAACAGAAAATGGGATTCACTCCTTATTATGTGTATCAAATCAAATCAGTATCAAATCAATGTTATTCAGCCAGCTGAAAAGTTGAAACCATACACAATATTGGCAGACATCATCATAAAATAACGCTTAAAGAAAATACCAAGGTATTTTCTGATATTTCTTTAAGGCAAACATTACTCAGCCATTGAGAAGGAGAACATACAACATACAATTCCAATGGAAAATTCTCAGTTTTACAATTTGGACCTTAACCTCACGAACATTTAGTATGCTGCCTTCCCAGGGCAGAAGAAAAACCAGTTGTTTTCTGTTTGTTTTCCTTCTGATACAGAAATAAGAATTCAAAGACATGGACTTTTTTTCCCTTTAAAAAAAAAAAAAAAAAATCTGGGAAAGAAAAAAAGAGGATACTTTGCTAGGTAGGTTATTTTTTGTGTTTCAAAAGCAGTGGGTAAGGTCACAGAAGGATTGCACTGTACAAAGCAGCCAAAGGTCTGCCAAAATTCAAGGAGCATTTTACATACCAGTATCCTAACATTGTGCAAATAAAGCCACCGACTGCAAAGTCACACGATCTTCTTACTCTACCTGAAACAAAGACAAAAATGCTAAAAAAATTAGAGAAATAGCTTGGGTGACTTCCCTTTATTCATAAAGTCTAACAGAAAAAATGAATGAATTTATCTTTAAGAATCAACACATGAGAAGATACAGAAGGTGTACTTACTAGTTGCTAAAAAGTGTCCAAGACCCACAACTAAAGATCCCAGAGACCCATACAGCACTGATTCTCGTGCACATGGGACATTTTTAACATCAAGAAATCCTAGGAGCTTGAAGGACTATAAGGAGGAAAAGAAAAAAAAAAAAAAAAAAGCACAAATTAATATTTCAATGAAAAAATGACTTTGGTAAACTTCTACCACGCCACATGTTTAAAAGTAGATTAAAAAAAACTGAAAGAAATTACCGGAAAAGATGCAGATACCAGAGAATCTTATCTGAATAAAAGCACCATTCTTATCCTAATCCTATGTATAGGCACAGGCTGTTCAGGTAAATTCCTCTGTATACCACGCATAGGTTCTTAAATGAACCTACTGATAAAAATTACTCAAATTAAGCCATATGCTCTTTCCAATTATAACCTACACTGGCTTTTATACGCCAATTTTCTATTTAACCTTCAAATGGCAATTACATGTGGCATTCATAAACACAACTGTGAACTGACAAATCCATTTTTAATTTCACAGATGCCTACATTGGCTCCAGCACATTCTAAGTCTCCTAATTTGAATACCACTTGTATCTCTCACCCAATAGACATCCTCACATGTGCACAAAACCTGGAATGGGAAACTACCTCTATACAGGCCTCCAAGCAACACGGTCAGAACTAAGGTACGTGAACAGGTTGCCCAAAGAGGATGCAGATGTTCCCTCTCTGGAAGCATGCAAGGCCAGGCTGGATGGGGCTCTGAGCAACCTGGTCTGGTGCAACTTATAGCAAGGGGGTTGGAACTAGATCATCTCAAGGGTCCCTTTCAACCCAAACCATTCTATAATTCTATTAACTAGAATAAATCTGCTTTTTTCTCATTCATCTGTTAGATTTTGAAGATGGAACGCTGTAGAAAGCCTCATGGGAAAGGCCGGCAGCTCTGGAAGGTCAGCATCAGTGTGACACAGCATGGCTGTGCTAACAGGGATACAAGCATGTGCCAGCAGCTGGATTTGTGGGCGGGTAAGGGAATCCCCACCAGTAACTGTGCCTGTGCCCTCTGTGGACAACCACCCTGCCGCTCAACGTAATCCCTGCGTATGAGACAGAAAGGATTTGGTCTATATCGGTCTAATCTGCTAATGAATAATTTCAAGCACTCCCTTATGGAAGAGGTCATCCGATACACTTCTGTTGTTGGCGAGGAAGGTACGGTGCTACATCTGTGCTGCATGAGGCACCCTTTTAAAATAGTCCTTCACCTGTTGCCCTACTGAAATCATCCGCTGCGGCTCCAGCCACTGCTAACTGCTGGGGACACAAAGCTCGAGCGGCATGGCAGCTTCCCCAAAAGGAGAAGGCTCGACAGAAGAGCAGGCAAAAAAACAGACAACCAAAAAGAAAAAGAGCAACAACAAAAAAAACCCCAACCAACCAACCACAACAACAACACAATCCCCCCAAAACTACGCTGTCCTTCCTAACCCGGTTCCATTCAGCCTCCCCTCTGCCCTGATCCCCGCTCTGATCACGGTGCAGTGACCGCTCTCCACGTCCCGCTCAGCAACCGCTTCCTCAGCACTCAAACCCGGGGCACGCCTCAGCCGAGAGCCGGCAGCGGAGCGGAGCGAAGCGAGGAACACCCGCCGCTTTCCATTACCTTCTCCGGCTCAGAGTCGCCCTCGCCCGCCATGCTGCGACAGCGCCGCGCCGGCCGCGCACCACCGAGAGCGGGCTGGGGCCGTGTAGAGCAGGCACGAAGAGCGGCCGCTCTAGCCGCCGCGTCTCTATGGTGCCCGCGCAGGGAGCGGGGGCGGGCGAGAGCGCCGGCGCCATTTTAGGTCTAGCGCTGAGATTCCAGCAAAATCCTTTGTTCGGTGAAATGGGTCACGGAGCAGGGGGCGCGCGCGCGCGCTCGCACCTAGAGGGCGGGGGCACGCGGGCGCGCAGAGGGAAGTGAGCGAGCGCGGCGCTGGCGTCCGGCCAGACCTTCCTTACGGCGCACCTCCGCCTGGTGCGGCCGGCGGCTGAGGGACCCACACCCCGAAACGTCCCGTCCCCGCCACGCGCAGGGCGGCCCGTTCTCGCTGCTAGCGCTTCCTGGAGCTGCCCCGCCGCTGACCTAAGCTGCTACCAGAGCTGTGCTGTTTGGCGGTGCCGTGTACCGCCCGCCCTTAGCGGGCCGCTCGCTTTTTGTTGGTGTTTGGGACGCGACGAGCACACACGCAACCCTTTAGCGGCCCTGCGCCGACTCCCTTGTGCTGTCGGTCCTTTATGTAGAGGGAGAGTGACGCGGCTCCTCGTGCCTCCCCCTGCCTTTGCTGTACCATAAATCCTCGAGTATAGGCCCCCCGCCGTCCAGCGGCGGAAGGAGCAAAGCAGGGCTGAGGAGTGAGAGGAAACGTGGCAAACGCGGCAAACGCTCCGTGGCGCCCAGGGGGAGGTGGAGGTGGATCAGGCTGCCTGTACCTCTGCCATAGCCGGCAGCTGGAGCGGGCTGAAGGTGCCGGCCAAGGCGGTAACGCAATGCTGGAGGACATCGGGAAGTGGTAGACTGGGGAAGAGCGGGATGAATTGTTGCAGTACGTGCTTTTGAAAGAGGGCTCGTTTGGCTCGTTTGCAACTAAATCACACGAGTAATGCAAAGTGGGGGTAAATCGAGTTAGCCTACTAGAAATAACGCCTCAGACGTATAATTTTGCCTGTGGCAAGATCTGAAAAGGTAAATTGTAGAATCATAGAGTCATAGAACGGTTTGGGTTGGAAGGGATCTCAAAAGCCCACCCACCCCAGCACCCTGCCATGGGCAGGGCTGCCCCTCACCAGCTCAGGCTGCCCAGGCTGCCATCCAATCTGCCCTCCAGTGCTTCAGCAGCCACAGCTGCTCAGGGCAGCTGTGCCATCAGCTCTCTGCCCTCTGAGTAAACAACTTCTACATAACATCCAGCCTAAATCTCCCCTCAAATAGCTTTGAGTCATTCCCCCATTGTCCTGTGACTTTACTGTGTAAAAAGTTGGTTTCTCTCTTATTTATAAGCTCCTTGAAGTACTGGAAGGCCACAATAAGGTCTCCCAGGAGCCTTCATTCTTTGGGGGCTGAACAAGGCCATCTCAGCCTATCATAAAGAGAGGTGCTCCAGCCCTCTGATCATCTCTGTGGCCCTCCTCTGGGCCAGCTCCAACAGCTCCAAATCAGCAAACAGGTACTGATACAGGTTCCTACCTCCTAAGTAGTGAACCACCCCCAAGGGTCAGTTTAGGGCTTTTTATATCTCAGCTATGAAGTAAAACAAGGATGAAAGATGTGAAATACTGCGCTTTCATTTAAAATAAGTAGTGTGTTTTGAAATACATTACTTTCCTCAGTGGAGTTAGATATCTTCAGGTCTTTTATAGTATTTTTGGATGTATTTTGTTCTTTATGTTGAGTAGAATGGACTTTTGCACTCAGTGGAATTCAGGTTTATTTGAGCGTTATGTTTTCAGGATTCAGGATCCTTTCACACAGAATGAATTTATATATAACTTGTTGAAAAGTGCTGTTCTACATTTGCGTAGACTGCTTGAAACCTTTGATTGATAGATCAGAAACAGGTCTCAATCCTTTCCACTGGTCCCAACTCTATAATTGTTTTATTATCTCTGTAGCCACGAGATCATGCTCAGAAATCATGGAACGAACAGATCCAATACGTCTGCAGTTTTAAAGGGACGAGTAAATCTCACCAGAACGGTGAGTTGTTAATACCTTTTTATCCTTAATGTAATTTATATATGTACAAACATAGGATAATTATTATAATAAAATGTGGAAAACAAAATAATTGACATAACCTCTTCTTCAAAGTTGTAATATATGTTTTTATCTTAGTTGGTTTAAGAAACACATATAATTGCATGTTATTACACAGCTACAAGCACTGAAGTGTATAGTAAAAATTCACACAAGTATGCTAATGCATCTGAAATTAACAGGGCCACAGCATTGAAGGCACTGCTTTTATTGCTGATTACTTGGCCTGGCCTGCACAAGTTAATATTTGGAAGGAGATGAATGAAAAAATCTGATTTTTTGGCTTTAAAACAGAAAATTGGATTTGGAATGAATGTACTATAGACTAGAGTACACAAATAGAACATCCTCTGTCTGATAGTCAAGAACAGGCAGAGAAGAAGCAGATATACCTCTTTTCCTAACAACATGCCTTACACTGAAATACCCACTGGCTTAAAATTCAAGCTTTTTGCTCTCCGTTTGATGCTTCATCTTTGCTCTGCCATACTGCTGCATATCATAGCTCTGCTTCTTCTGTTTTAGAAGTCATCCTACGATTAGTAACTGTTGTCCTTTGTGGAATTACAAGTAGACAGAGGGCTGCTTGGCATTGCTTGAGATCGGTGAGGATGTGTGAAATGGAGCCTCCTTAGCTTGAAAGTGGAGGGGCTGCTGATGTGACACTTACAAACAGCATCGCATGTGTGGTTCACTTTCCTTTCTTGTCTGTTTTGACCTGGCAACTCAGGGTGTGTGGTGAAGCAGGACAGTGTCCTCAGACCCTTAAGGAGGGCAGTGCTTCAGACCTGCTTCTTTTCTCCTGACTTGTTTTAGAGACTGGAAGAGGGAGCTTCTTTTCTCATCCTGGGTTCATATAAAAATAAGCCATTTTTAAAATGAAATTTATTCTAGTGACTGAATCTGCTAGTTGATAAAAATGGCTGTTGAAATCCTATTTTTACTAGACCATAAATATTTTTTGTTACAATTTCAGTCAATTCGGATGAATTCAAAGTATCCAAAGTATGAAGAACTTTATTACTGTTTTGAGCAGTTTATATCATGTCTGGGGTAAATGTGAAATGAGTCTAGCTTGATTCAGTATTACCAGACCAATACTTGGCAAGGCACGCAGCATTATTTACTTGCAGTGACAACAAATGAGCAGAGTGCAGGCATGCAGTAGTTGCATTTATAGGGTAGAGGAAATGTGAAAGCTGATGAAATATGCCCTCTACTTTGCCAGAATGATCTGCTGCAAGGGCAGCACTGAGCTTCTCCTAAACACTTGATACCGCTGACCCAGCAGAGGCACAAGCCAGAGTATCTGCCCTTGTACCCTGCGAGTGAGTCCTACAGGGAGGGAGGCAGAGCAAGAGCATTGGCATACCAGCCTTCCTCCACTAGTAGCAACAGTATGCCATTTCTGGAAGCCATGCATCATGCATGCATTTGGAATGGCTGCTTTGGTTTTCTTTCCTTAAAGACATGGCTGATATGGAAAGATACTTTTCCTTATGGACATTATTCTTTGATGCCTACGCATGCTCAGTTTTATCCATAATAGCATGCTGACTAACACTCACTCTTAGAAACTTGAGCTTTTCCTACATTTGTGCAGCCTATATTTTCATTAGTTGATAAAAAATTCATAGCACCCTTTGTTGTTAAGCTGGAAATCTACCCACTCGTCCTTGAAATTCCTAGCTTGGGAGTGCTTTGGATCAGTTTTAGTGGTTTGGGTTGGTCTTTGGCAACCATCCTGCTTCTGGCCCATTATCCCTCACCTCTGTACATAAAGACCAGGCCACACAAGACTTGTCATTTTAGCAGTGGCAAACTGGCTACCACTTACTGCATATAGAGCAGTGGACAAAAAGTACTCCTGTCATACAGTGCAACCAGGAATCTGTCTTGTTGACTTCTTCCATGCTTATTTCCTTCATCATGCTGAGTGCTTTCTTGAATGGTCAGAACCTACTTAGTCTCATCACCACTGGTCATGAGGGGAGGCGCATGTTTGCTCTTTTGAGAGCAGTACAGATTTAGCTTGAGAGCCTGAAGTTGTTCTGTCACAGGTGTTGTTAGGTAGCAGGCCAGCATGCCTTGAAACAATTTTATCTGGACATTTTATCTGTCTTCAAGGTCAACCTAGAGCTTCTTAAACAGAAGGCAATTGCCTATGGTGACCAGGTGCCAATTCATAAGCCATGAAAGCAACAGGTACTACATTGCCAGAAGTCAGGAAGAGTCTGGTTATTCCACTCATGTCCCCAGTTTTCGTGAGGGTGTTTGTCCTTCAGGAGGAAGTCATCATATTATGGGATGCGGGTGTGTAGGAATTTCGGCACTGTGTTTTGGTAGGTCTGTGGTGGTGTTTGCTATGATGGTTGTAAAGATACCATCTAGCAGGTTTTGTCAGAGTAACCACACCTGTGGGAGCAGAGTTGAGGAGAATTGGGCAATCACAATGCACGTGTGGCTACTTCTGCTGCCAAGGCAGTCAGGAACAACACTGTAATTAAATAAAATTTAAGATTAAATCTCAGGGAAGGGAAAGAATGTTCTTACTGCATTAATATGCTAAGGTCTTCACAACTGGTTCATTTTTAACACAGGCAGCACTAGAATATGATGGTATCACTGAAGTGAAGGGTAAGAGAGGAGTGTAGTGTTCAAGAGCTGCTGTGTTCTGCAAGCAGTGTGCTGTTAAAGTAGGTATACCATTACCACTGTGCAGGGAAAGAGGAGCAGAGTTTCTGAGGAGCAGAGTAGATCAAAGTAGACACTCAGACAACTGGGAACGATATCCAGAAATGATGCAATGTATAAAAAGGAAGAAAAATAAGTGATGTGTCAGATACATCTCATTGTATCTCCATCCATCCATCCATCCATCCATCCATCCAAGATTTTTTGGTTCTAGAGTAAGTTTCACTGACATTTCCCCACCTTGCTCGGTGACACGAGTGTCCTCTTGCAGCCTGCCAGATGCCAAGTGCTTTGTTCCATTGGAACTAACAGAGCATACTCTTAAGACAGCTGCATCCAAGAGATTCTGAATGAAGAGGAGTTGTCTTGGGCCGCATATCAAATATATAATATAGTCAATGTATGTAAGTCACAAAACTTTTCTATTCTTTGATGAACCATAAAAAAAAGAGAGCAATGAAAACATAAAACTGGTGGGATAATTGACCTTTTTTTTTTTCCTTTTTTTTTTTCTTTTTTTTTTTTTCTGTGAAACTAATACATCAACCTGGTTCAGTGGCAATGGCTGCAATTCTTAGTGAATTCTAAAGGTGTTCATCAGAGATGTTTGATGAAATTTTACTCGTCCTGTGCTTCATCCTTGAACAATTTTTCACAAATGCATGTATTACTTGAAATCAATGACAGGAATAACGTGTGGTTGTGAAGAGAGGGATATCTTTCTCTTATGAAAATCTAGTAGAGCAACGTGATCACATTTTTCTGTAAGTTGAATATCCCCATGCATGCATTTGCAACCCTGTGAACCATTTTTCCTCTTCATGTTCTGGCACAAATTTTCATTCTGATTCCATGATTTGGTTTCATGTTGCAGGTCATAAAATCTTTGTAGCATTTTACTCTAGGACACCTTACTTCAGAAAAGGAAATAAATGTTCCCATAATTGGCATCCATACTTTAAAAAAAAACCTGCTGAAAATGGTGACAATTCAGTCCCTTGAACTTTATGAAATTCACAGCTTTGATGACAATCTGCAAACATTATCAGTTTTTAAAGCTTCAGCACGTAAATGTTCTTGATTTACACTGCAGTGATAATTCACTGGATGTTTTTCCCAGCCATCACCGGCGTGCCACAGGTACACATACTGGTAGTTGAACTGAATTATTATTATCAGCAACCACTGTGTTTTACTCACCAAACCCACAAATGCATGTGATGTGTTATGCACGCAGGTTTTGATTTGACTGCGTGTGTGTGGCAGGTGCAAGAGGCAGAATCAGTGCTGCACTGTGCCCTCCACCCCACAGCATTCCATTCTATGTGGTCCACACTCAAGCTACTCACAATCAACTCATGAAAAATATCACTAAAAATCATGGAATAAGGCTTAAAAGTTTACCATCTTGTGAGGTTGCATTGTTAGCTGTCCAGGGTCGTGTGCTGCCTGCAGGCTGTGGGATCTAGCATGTAAATATTTCTCTATGTGGTGAATTTTCTGCTGTTTTCTGAGAAGGCTCAGAGATTAAATACTTCCAGCAAAAGATTTTGCTCTCTTTCTATTGCCACACTGTGACCTGGCTAGGTCAGCCTGTTGGTGACTGCCTACCAAGGGCTGTGACCTCCTGTCATATTTTAATTGTGGAGAACAGTGGTTTCCTAGCCACAGGTGCTGGGCTGAAGTCACTCATCTCTATGAGCACCTGATATGAGATGGCTGGTAGCAGAGGCTGTTGGTATTCTGAGGTCTGGGAAATGGTAGGGCAGCTGGAGCTGTCTGGGGTTCCGGGGCAGTTGTTCCTGAGGGACTGGTGGGATCTGTGTGCATGTCCTATTTAGCCATGCTGCTGGAGAAGCCCTTGGAGTCTTACTGACATTAATGGTGGGTTTGTCCTCACCCATGCCATTATCCTCTTCAGTGAGATCGCCAGCTGTTTAGTGAATTCAGTTGCAGAGCTCTTGGGCACGGGCTTTCTGTGATTACCAAGCTGTGCAGAGCACTCTTTTAATTTATGCTGATAGTTTTATTTTTCCAGTATGTTGAACTGATACCTTCTCAGGTACTTCTGCAGGAACAAGAGTAGAAACTAACCATACATTTTGTTACTTTGCTTATAAACTGTTAAAAATTCTTAGAAAGTTGGATGTAACTTATGTCTAATAGATTAGTTTTTCTGGTCCACTGAAGCTAAAATGGCCTAAACATCAATCAGAGGCAGCTGGTGATGGTGAGTTATTCTTCCAGTTCTGGAGAAGTCTGCGTTGGCAGAAAGCTGCACAGCTTACTTCATCTAATCTTGTGCTTCAGAGAGGAAAGAAGAGCCATTTCTTAGATGAGGAAGGGAAGAGAGTGCTTATTTTGATGAATGATCCTTCAGAGTGCTAACTTGGGTTTACAACAGTGTAATACTGAATAATAGTGTCAGTACCATCTGATTCCCTCTCATCCTTGCTCCTTGGAGTGGCATGTATATTTTACAATTTCCTTTTTACATTTCTTTAGCTCTTGCGAGGGTACTTTAAATTAGTTGATCGAGGTGATTGTTGTGATAAAGCACTTTATCTTAAATCTCTCTTTTTTTTTTTTGTTCAAAGACTTTTCATGAGTATTAAAAAACTAGTGTTATTCAAAGTTCTGTTTTTTCCAACCTAATTGTAAGCATGTCCAAAGTAAAAGAAGGACCAGAGGTGGTAACTCTGGTCTGTTCCTTATGAAGATGATCGCCTCACAGACAGGGACACAGACAAAGCAGAGAAGTGTCTTCAACACTGTCTTCAACACTGATGACAGGCTGTGGGACCTTTGAATCCCTGAGCTGGAGAACTGTGAATGCAGTAACAGTAGATTCCTAGCCAGCCCTGAACTTGTGCAGAATTTGTGGCTCCAGTTGGATGTATATAGGTCTGGGACACAACTGGGATTCATCCTAGGGTACTCAGAGAGCTGACTGATGTCACTGTGGGACATCTCTCAATTATTTTTCAACAACCTTGGCAATCTGTAGAGATCCTAGTCACCTGGAAGCTAGCAAACATTGTTCCCGTTTTCAGGAAAGGTAAGAAAGAATACCCTGCTCAAAACAGGCCTGTCAGTCTCACATCAGTCCTGGCAGAATTATGGAGAGTTATTGTAAAACACCCAAAAGACAATGCAGTCGTTGGTTACAGCTAACATGGATTCACAGGGGTAAACTCTGTGGTCTTAATTTCCTCTTACAACAAGGTTACCCATCTGCTTGGCCAAGGGAAGCCAGCTGACCTAATCTTTTTAGATTCAAAAGTTTAGTTTAGATTCGAAAGTTTAGTTTAGTATCCAAAACTTTGGACACTGTTTTGCACAGTATTTTTCTGGACAGAATGTCCAGCATATAGCTAGACAAAAATATAACGCCTTGGGTGGGTGGACAAAAATAGTTTCTGAAGCAGGAGGGAGCTTTCAAAAAGGGGATCAAGTTGAATATTTCCAAACTGATCCACTAAGCCTGGAATCATTGCGTTACCTCCTAACCATGGAAGATCAGCATCTAGCCCCTTCAGGGCAGCAGGAGCCACCAGCTCCACCCCTTACTTTTCCAGCCTTTACTGTGAGAGCAACAAGGCAAAGTGCAAGAGGGAAAAAACTGCTGTTCCCCTTCTGGATATTACCAAAGGGGCAAAGGCTTTTTTTGTGTCTAAGGAGCTCTCCAGATTGAGAGATTTTTAACTGATTTATTCACTTGTGGTTCCTAATGAACACAGATGGGGATGAGGATGAGGAATCTGTTAGTTTCCAAGCCTCCTGCTGAGGACAGATTGATAAAGGCAATAGGAAGCATTTCCTTGTGGATGGAGCAAAAGTATCCCTCACATGAGGTCCCAAGGACAGTAGAGACAAGCTGCTGGAATAAATGATTTTGCATTAGGACAGAAATCTGTGCAGAATTGCATCTTGGAATCCCTTTCAGACCTATCTTTCCCAAGAACATAGTGCCATTTAAATATGTTAACCTCTTGCTGACATAGAAATCACATAACGATTTCTTATCCTTCTGGACAAAAAACCAGGGTTTATTTAATGATGCTGTTGTGTATTGATTGTATGGTATTTTAGCATTTATCAAAACTCACAGTGTCTGTATGCTAACATCTGCCCCCCCAAACAACCAATATTAATAACCTTAATCAATATGAAGCTATTGATAGGCTATAGGGTTCTGGAGAGCTCTTTGTTTTGGTGAAATATTCAGGAATATATGTTAAAATGAATTCCAGGAACTTTCCAGGAAATTAGCCATCCTAACTATGAACAATTCTGTTTTAAAAAGCATTTACATAACCTTGAAGATTCTGAACAGTTTGCTTTTAAAAATTAGCTAAAATCAGTCATGTGTCTTTCTTTATAAAGTAAAATTGCATGTGAATGTGAAATGAATGGAAAAAGTTGCAGCACATTTGTGGATAGCATCAAAATTTAGTGCTTTTCTCAACTAAAATCTGCAGGAGTTCATCAATTACCTGCTTTAGCTTTGGATTTGGTGAGTTATTCTCACTCATATTCACTTACAAGCATAGCTGACACGTGACACTGATGTTAGGAACACCCCTGATAACCAAGGAGCTGATGGTTACTGAAATATAAATAAAATGCTTAAATGGTACTCCTCCAAATGTACTCCAACAGCTCCACTTTTTCTGGAGAAGATCTAATAAATAAACTGGTGAGGTTTTGGGAACTGTTTCACAATTGGAATTAAACGTAATGACATAATGCCTGGCATTCTTTCTAGAGACTGTTCTTTTACCATGTCTTATAAGAATATGAAGTTATGCCTATCATAGGTAAAATTTTAAAGAGACACCTATTGTGTTCCAAATAAATCTGAGACTTAAAATCTGTACATCCAGAGTTGCTGTGAGAAACCATATCAGCAGCTTTGCTGAAATCTAAAAAGATTACATCAACTTTGGTCAAGCAGATGGGTAATTTGACATAGGGTTTGGCAATACAGCTCTCTGAACTGTCTTTTAAGACCAAGTAAAGAACATTCTGAAAGCAGATCTGTCTCCTGCTGTTTTCCTCTGATGTGAGCTGGAAGGAAAACTCAGGTGGACGCCCCGGAAGAGCTACATGACAGGGAACCTGCTCAATCCTGCAAATCTTGTCCTTGCCAAACAAGTTCCTTTCACATATATTTGATTTTCTTTGTTTCCTTGGCAATAGTAAATCAGCTGGAAAAGTACCTTATGTCTGAGGAGCTGAACCAAAAGGGACCCAATGCAATTGAATGTAGGCAATTGAATCATGCCTTAACTGTCCATCATCTTGAATCCAAAGAACCAAGCTACAGCTCTGTATGTTTTAATTGGTGGCTTATACATTCTATATGTATTCTTTTGCTGTCCTCATCTATGGAATGACCACTGTGTTGTTTCCCATCACGTCACTGATAATCTAAGCGTACATTTTAAATCAAGCACCGTGAGGCATTTTGCTATCTGTACCATACCTAGGCATTTCCTGAGCTGTGTCTTTCTTCCATGAAGTACCAGAGCTGTCTGCCACGGGATTTTGTTCCTCCGTTGATGGACTGTCAGTCACCAAATTCTGCTTCTTAATTTAGCATCTAATTGCTTATTTGTTGTTTTGTATGTTTCCTTATGACTTCGGTTGCACAACTGCAGTGATTAGTGTTGATGTTCCTGAGGCTTGCATAGCAGTGCTTTAACGCTGCACAAGGAAAACATCCTACAATAGAGCAGGGATCGCACTCCGAGGATTTCTAGCTTTATCTCCTCAAGTTGCATAGAGCTTTGCTACGGTAGTCTCTCCACAAATGAGGTCAGGAGTAATTCATTATAATTGTTCTGAGTGAATTTCACAGAAGAAATGAAGAAAATTGTTCATTTACGAGATTATGTGGCTTTCTCTGCACTGGGGAACATGGGAACTTCTCAGTAATGAACACTTATTAGTGCCATGATCAGCTGTAATGTTTGCATAATGAACAAAAATGCTTTGTGTTTGACTTGGCTGCCTTCAGTATTTCTGTATTCTTGACTGCATTTTTGTACAATATGCGAGTGACTTTGACAAAATTTATCAGAACTCACCCTAAAAATGAACTTCACCCCGCTAACTTCTGTTTCCAGGTATTTCCTTTCATTTGCCTTATCATCACCCATTAAGAAGGTCGTTCTTCCACTGAAGCGATTTCCCGCAGGTACAGTGCTGCGTGGAAAGCACAGTTCTCATGGCTCCAGCTGCTGCTGCTGTGGCAGAGCTGGGGAGTACACACCAGCTATGAGCCCCAGCTCCAGCCATTCTACCTAAACTGAGCCCTGCCATTTCTCTCCTGAAAACGCCTCTGTATTTTCGTGGCATCTGTACTTTGCCAGCACCTGTAGTGCCAACAGTGGGTTTCACCTTCAGCAGCAGCAGCAGTGCTGCCATTTGTACTGATCTGACCCACACCTGCCAGGAGCTCTCAGAACCTGGAAGTGCTCTGGCTCTACTTCCTCTTCCTCCTGCTAAACCCTACCTGGAGCTGGCAGTGCCACACTTGTTTCTGGGGTTTGGCTGTTTATGAAGGTGGTGTTCTACTGTGGGCAGGAAAACGCATGGAAAAATCCTTTTTCTTGGAGCAAAGCACTTCCGTGAGTTTTAGTATTATAGCATATTTTTTGTAATAGCAAAACACAGCAGCTGGTTCCCATGGAAACCAAGAAAGGCCTCGCCACACATTGGAGAGAAGGTGGATGGTGGGCTGGCCTGCCCGGAGCAGCGCAAGATGTCCTTGTGGATGGGTTAGCACAGGGCACTGCCACTTTCAAAAGACAGCTCCAAAACTGCTGGATTGTGGAAGCTGAAAGCGGGTCATCCTTCTGCTGTCCCTGGTTGTTTTGTCATGGCCACTTCAGCATTTTTAGAACAGACAACCAAAGCTACCCTGACCTACAATGCAACCAAGTGAGGCTTCTCAGAAGAGTGCAGAGATGAGAGGCCCGCCAAAGCCATCTGTCATCCTGCTTTTAAACCTCTTACTGCGTGTGGAAACCATAAGGCTGTTGAAGGGCAGAGGAGCTTTAAGAGAACAATTGCAGAGGTGAGAGCATCCTCCAAGGCCTGGGAATCCTCCCCCAGAGCAGGCTGCTTTGGTTGACTGGCAGGAGTTTGGGTGTGTGGCTGGCCTTGCTGATTTCTTTTTTTTTTTTTTTTTGGATGTAGGAACAAGAATTGGAAGAAGCACACAAACATGCACACAAAAATCAGACTCCTCTTTCATGAGTCTTATCTTCCAATGCCATCCAGAACAGAGAAACTGAAAATGCAGTTGCTGGCAGAGAATTTTGTTAGACCAGCATCTGGTTTGTTACTAGCAGAAAGCTAGAAGGACAAGTGAAACAAGATTATAGAACAGTTTTGCAGCCATTACAAACAGTAGATGCTGTTTTGTATTTCAGGAACAGATTTAGGCAATGCTTTATTGTTGAGTTGAATTTTGCTAAGCACTATATGAACTTTCATTTCCACTTAATAGAAAGCCCTACATCATATCTATGTAAAAGTAGGTGGGTGTAACAGAAATGCTAAGTCAAGGCTTGAACCAGTGATTGAGCACCTGGTAGGAAGGCAGGGCCAACCCAGGGGAACTCAGGTGCATGCAATGCATCTGAGTGACTGGAAGGGGTGGAGCCAGGATCCACCCCTTCCCAGACCTCATTTAAGGGCAGTGGAACAAGGGTATCTTGCTGGAGATCCCTGTGTACCTGAGGCCTTCCAAAGGTAAGTGGATTCTTTCCTTTGTTTCTGTGCCCATGGCTCTTGCACTTGAGCAAGTGCTCTCTTGCTATAGCTTAGACTTTGTTACTCTGCTATCGTTGCTGTGTTTTCTATTGTGTTACAGTGGGTACAGTAGCTATGTAGCCTGTTTCCTCCAGGTTGTCGTTCAGTGTCTTTACTGTGCTTTTTATGTCTCTTCAAGATAAGAACATCAGTGACTTTTACATTTGAGCTGGCATGTTATCATCAGCTTTTGCTAGTTCTTACTCAAATCATACTGCTCAACACATGTGAATTAATTTGTTGGAAGCTTGAACGCTTGAACACATGACGAGCTACTGATTCTAACACAGGCCTGGTACAAGAAATATAAGTTACAGAGTAACTTTTTGAGGGAGAAAGAGGAAAAGACTGACACACATCATTTACCCTATATATACCTTTTGGTTACTGAATGCCTTCTTAAAGTGGGTAAGCACTTCTGGCCATTGGATGTCACAAGTGTGTTTTCTGGAACAACAGCACAGAACTTCTCATCTACATTCTCAAAATTTCTGCTTTTAAGAGGTGACAGAAGTGAAATCTTGAAGAGTGGAGTGGAAAATCCCCAGGCAAAACAGATCTTTGTATTTACATTATTAGTTTTAAGAGAAGTACTCCGTCTCCTTTGTGAAGTCGCATTTCAGTAAGCTCCTCCCACCTCTGCAGCTCTCACAGTGATTTGGGTCCAGTTGGACAAAGTAACGCACCTATACTTCAGCAGCTTCTCTACCAACTCCTATCCTTGCCACTCCTCTGCAGCAGCATACGTGGAGATGCTGTGCTTAGTTCACAAAGCATAGCTGAACAACAGAGCCCAGGTTCCCTGCTGGCTGTCAGTGATCTGTCACTAACAGCTGAGCCCCTGGGGCATTACCTAGCATTTGTTTAGTCTGCTGCAAAGCCAAGACTACAGATCTGGGTTTTGGAGCACATCAGCATGGCATGTAATACCTGCAACGTAACCCAAGCGTACTCCAAGTGGCTGCGTGCCCACAGGTATTGGCTGGCATGCAGAATATGAAAACTTTCAGAAACTAGCCCATTAAAAACTAACGGCTTTTAACTATGCTTCAAACAAACCAAGCTGCCAAAAACAGAATATGGCCTATAAAGCTCGAGTAACTATAGCAAAACTACCCACCTTTCACGTAAGGCATTGTTTGAAAGAAGATGTCCGCTCACACGGCACCAATAAATACAGGCTATAGGTACCAGGAGAATAAGAAAAACACAGCCAACTGTCTTTTTTAGAAAAGTATTTTTAATAAACAGATGGATTTAAGATGCTAGACAACTTGTTGCCATGTACAAGGTAACAAAGTCAAAATTCTTTGAATTTTATACAAATACTACGTAGTACAGTAAACTTGAATACAAGTTTACAAAACAAAATGCATCAGTGATTATTCAGCTTGTAACCAACTTCCAACAGTGAAAATTACCATGTATCAATAGTGATCAGAATTGCATTGCAAATTTTAGAAGTAATGCAAGTATATTTTTACCAAGCCACTCTGAAGTTTCTGGTGCACACTGACAGTACATTGGATTTTTTTGGCTTGCTGAACTGAAAATGGCATTTAAATAAAATGACAGTTAAGGAGTACACTAGGTATCAAAAGGATTACCTTACAGAAAACTAAAGGAGAATGAGAAAGTAAACAGAGCAGAACCCTGAAGTAGCAAATTATTTTTCTACCCGTTTTGATGGAAAAGACTCCACAGGTGTCCAGCTTTCTCACAGCATTTTGGAGTGTTCTAGTCCTAGCACAGTGTGGTCATTAGTAGACTAAAGTAATCCCTGCTTGGCAGTAATGCTGGTGAAAGGTAACTTGCTCTATTGCTAACAGATCGGAGTAACCGCTGGCAGGGTGACTTCTTGCGGGCATCCAGCGGAGGCCGAGTTCACAGCCCGTGATTGAAGTTACAGTACCACTCGCTGGGATGCAATACCCAACAGCCTTCAGGGTTCACGTGTCAGTTTCCTCACAGGACTTACAAATGGATGTATTTAAACAAAAAGTGGAGTGTAAGACAGTATTTTCGTCTGTACAGCTACTGATAAAATGAACAATTGTTACAAACTTTCCAGTCTGCTTTATAAAAAATATTCTTAGTTTTACTTCTAAACAAAAACTGTGCTGTGATCTGTCACTTTCTTGCATTGTACATACTGTAGTTGTGTTAATGAAGGTGTAGAGATTTGAGATCTAGAGCTCTGGATATCTGAGAAGCCTAAAAAGCTGGTTTTGGTACAGAAGAATTAGGTAGCAATGAAAATTTATCCTATTTATTTTTCCTAAAACCTAGGAAGAGCTACAGTACGTTGCTAGATCAGTGGCCTCAACCCTGAGCTGAAATAAAGGACCTGCCTTGGCCAAGAGAGTCACATTACTACTACAGCTGCACAGGAGAGACGGAACGACCCACCTACAGTCTGTCACCTTAGCTGTGAGTAGTGCAATAGTTCATTCTGTAATGCTTGAGAGCTGACTGGAGACCACCATGCTCATTTTCACACCAGGAAAAAATAAACCAAAAAACCCACCCCCAATTCAGAGATTCAAGTGGAAAAACAAAACGAGTCAGTATGTCCAAATTCTGGAGAGCAAAGAAATATCATGGTAGACTTGTCAGTCTTGAGCATTTCCCACTTGGTAGAAGAGATCATTAATACATGTACCAAAGCACAGATAACAAGACTTCTACAACTATCCCACTCTTCTTGAAAAAAAATGGCTCTTGATTCTTCCTCAGTACTGAATACTAGCTTATCTTTCTGTCACTACAGTGTATCACAGAAGATGAGTGAAAGCTTCAAGGCTGTCTTCCAAAGGCTTCAGCCCAACTGCCAGAAGAAAAACTTCTTGCTCTTTTCAACCATGAATTGAGTTGGCCATCATGCAAATTCTTACTAGAACATAACCTACTGTACCTTCCTGAAGGGTTCATGGCACTGACTACCCATGGCCTGGAGAATACACAGCATTAAGCATTCTTGCCTCCTAGGAGGATTTTTTTTTCCCCTTTTGAACAACAGAAACGTTAGAGTCAGTATTTCACTTGATGGAAAAAATTAAACTGAGCAACAGATCAAAAATAAAGCTTGTAAAAATCATTTATGTTTCTAGTAATGCACACTTCTTGGAGAGCTCATCAGTTTATAGATGTTGTTTTGTTACAGTTTAAGGCAGCGAGTCTTACAACATACACAAGCTCACCTCCCTCATATTTGTGCTACTGTATCCTCATGTGCACAACAGAACCTCGCCAATTCACACTAATGACTGCAAGAACCATTAATTCTCTTGGTAAGTGAACAAGAATAAGGCATTCCATTATATATTCTGATCACTAATTATAATTTAGCTCTAATTATAATCTACCAGCAAACATACTTCTGTGTTTTAGAAAATAGCATCTCTTACCTTCAGACATAATTACGTGTGCAGATTAGCAGGTTCTGCTGTGTAAACACGCAGGTGCATAAGCAATTTTCAGGTTTTTCTTCGTTACATCTGACAGGAAAGTTAATGCCACAGATAGAAACTGTGGGAAAATAAATTAAGATTTCTCTGTAATTTGTGCAGATATGCACAACCAACTGGGTGCCAATATATCGGCTTAAAAAAAAAACAAAACCAAAACCCATTGATGCTTATAAACTTAAATGAAGCAAAATCAGCAGCAGGAAGCAAGGCCATTCCCCAACCATAAATGGCTTGTATTATGCTATTCAAACTATGTGAAATAATAATAAAATTAAAAAAAAAATAAAATACAAGTACTAACTTTGTATATACAAGTTTTAAATCAAGTAACACAAACCGTGAAAAAACTGTTGATGTTTTTAAGAGGCGATAATCATAGATCTAAATTCTGGTTGAAGTAGACTGTAAATATGGACAGAAGATACTATGCAAACTGCATGGCTGAATTTAAAAGAAAAAACAAAATGTGAGGGATCAATGGGCAGTGTAATGAGATAGAAATTTCACTTCGTATGTGCAAAAATCCTCAGCTTCATGAATGTAGAGGTCATACTTCAATAACAGATCTTACACAAAAATCAGTCTCCCTACATCCTGGAATCTACCTGTTTACATCAGCCACTTTGAGTGTACGGTACCCTGTTCACATGGATAGCATTCAGCAGTTTCTAGCATTTCTCAGAAATTTAAGTTTCACCTGCCTTAGGTCTTGAAAACAAAGGGGAGAGTTCATAGCCAGGGCATCATCATACCACTGCCTTCGAGTTACACCAGCAAAACTCACGTTCTCTCTTCTTCCGTGGTGGCAGGAGTCCTTACAGGACTTGTAAACAGCAGTACACAATACTGTAAACAAATAATTTAAGTTCTACTTTATACAAGATGTTAACTCAGGTCTAGCAAACAGGTGAAAATGAAAAGGGTGGCTTCACACAACATCCTTCCCTTTTCTCACAGCAATTCTTTTCGCTACTTAAATAATCCTGAGCTGAAACAGGGGCTGATGAGAGCCATTTTTGCATATAAAGACAATGTTCTGGAGTCAGCTCTCACGTTCTGTCAGAAAGTCAATTGCTGGAGAGATTAAACTGAAGTATTTCAAACCATTTAGTACTTTGGAGGAGGACTTATAATTTGGTGTGGCGTCCAGTTCTAGACCCAGATGCTGAGCTTGCCAAGGAAGCAGATGCTGCTGCGTCCTCAGCTTCCTCCAGCTCGTCCTGTAGCTCCTGGCTGACACTGGACTGGAGGGCTGCAGGAGTCAGCCATTCCTTCGGCAGGCAGCTCTGGAGAAACGGTATACAAGAGCTGAAGTAGGCGAGGCGATTCACCCATCGTGGAATCTCTTTTCCACACAGAATCTACAAGAAAAGGAGAAAAGAAAGAATTAACTCATATTCTGGACCGAGCAGTAATGGATGTTAATTACTGTAAAGAATCGGCGAAAGCTGCTGCAGTCTGACACAAGTTAGCTGCAGGAAAACAATTTCCACCATCAGTAAAAGCAGAGTCCCAATTTGCAGACACTTTTTTTCCACTGCAAGTTTGACATGTAGTTATACTCCATTTTTTATCATTATCATTGGTAGAGTTCTGATCAGCCCAACCACCTCATTTTGTGAATAACTTCTTTAAAAGGCAAACAAATGAGTTCAGGTATGTTTCATATTCACACAGAATTCCTCAGAAACAGCAGCTGGAGGAGAGCTCTTGCTATGACAAAAAACACCCAGAAATGAAGCAGTCAAAAAGACAGTGTCAGTGCTACAGTTATGTGGAGTTATGCATGCAATGGGGATATTTTTATGGCTTCAAGCTCAGAGAGGGTAGATGTAGGTTAGGTATCAGGAAAATTTTTTTTACAGTGAGGCACTGGAACAGGCTGCCCAGAGATGTGGTTGGTGCCCCATCCCTGGAGACTTTCTAGGCAAGGCTGGATCAGGCCCTGGGCAACCCGATCTAGCTGTGCGTGTCCCTGTTCATTGCAGGGGTGTTGGACTAAAAGGCCCTCAGAGGTCTCTTCCAACTCTAAGGATTCTGTGATTTACTGTGATGGCCTCTGATGACTTTGGACAAGAGATCAGTATCTTACAGCACACAGATTGTAAGTTTGCTAGAACAAGAGTGGCTATACAATGCAAAGCTGCTTTCAGCTCCTCAAATACATAAAAGTTGCATTAAATGGTCGTTTTTTCTGTACATCAGTCATTAAATGTTTCTGTTGACACTACTGAAGAAGTGACCTATTTTACTTAACTGCATCTATGTTCATTTCTGGTATTACTTACCCCAGTGCAAATCTGGAGTAAATCACAGCTAGCAAGAGCATTACTCTGTTGTAGCTGAAGAGTGTTTTACTTGAAGTTATATCCCTATTTTTTAGCCAGCTTGAACACTAAACAGGATGAGTTAAAACAGAAACAACATGAGCATGAGTTCATGAGTGCAGCACATGCCTGGCTATATTGGCCAGACTTCATGCCAACTGCAGCTTCATCAGTATGTCACCAGACTTATTCCTACTAGCACTGCACACAAATCATCATCTCAAGATGTTCCAGCACCACTGGAAATCAGACTCTTTGTGTAGCCTGTGCTTTGTCAAGATTAAATATTCTGAATGAAAAGCAGCTGAGTTTTATGGAAGTTTGTCGTGGAAAACACAGCCAGTCCTTGTTTGAAAGACTTCAGTGAGCATTAGAATAAATTCTGATGAGCACAGGTTAGCAACTAGTAGCAAAAACACAACTGTCTTTCCCTTCATTGTCCTGGGTTACCTGTTCCTGGCTGTTTGTTTCTCCTGTGTCTCTACAAGCACGTAAGTGATCAGGCATTTGTTTGTGCTGGCAAACTGGAAAGGTTAAAACAAGGGTGAGAGGGAAATGCCATGCCCATTCAATTCCACAGTCAGCTATTCTGCACCACCACAGAGGCAGGTACCAGGACGCAGGCACTGGCAGAGGGACAACTTGACAAAAGCCCCTCAAACAGAAGCTAAACATCATCTATGAAACTTCAATGCCTCTGTTATTCTTTAGCAAGCACTTTGAATGCAAGGGCACTGTGTAATGGAAATTACATCTGGTTCTGTCTGCCTCACTTGTCTCTGAAGTGTCTGTAAAGATTTTGGAACCCTGTTAATACTTGCTTTACTGGGTCTCTCAATTAGCAGTAGCACCTTCTGGAACACAAGCTGCATGTAACAACATTCAGCACTTTTGGCACCACAGGCTTGCATTTTTCTCCCAAAAAACACACACACACAAAATATCTGAAGAAAGGGTAACATTTACACAAGGTACCAAAGATAAGAAGCTGGAAATTATGCCAAACAACCCGAAGGACAGGAAGGAGATGATGCTCTGTAGCCACCTGGGACGCACCTTTCTATAGACCCCAGTGTTTGTTTACCTCAGATAAAGCTGAAGAAAAGTGATTGCAGTTTTTGTGCATTAGGTGATAAGCATTTCCTTTGAATTCTTTTCCAAGCTCTTCTACTATTTTTTCTATATCATCTTCCATGAAGTCAGTGCTGCCTAGAACCACAGCCTCTCTAAAAAGAGAAACAGAGATGAGGATGAGCAGGCTTCCATGAAATAGGTGAGTAACTGTTTTCACATTGCTCAAAATATACCCCTGTGTGGGTGGCAAGATCTTTCTGCCCTCCCAGAAGGACGGATTTTTTTCTATTCCATTTTACAGCACTGGTCTCATCTGATATGAGATTCCTTCCTTGCTGTACACCCGTAGTCCACTTATTTTTCAAAACAAAGAAAACACTCTTCTCTCAGTCAGAAATTCTCAAGTATCATTTAACATATCTATCCATGCAACAAAGTGTCTTTTTAACCTATTTTCTCAAAAACAAGAAGAGAGATGTTTCTTACTTAAATTTAAATGTCTCTCCCAGCTCGGAAGCATTTCCTGGAGAAATTTCAAATATTCCAGAAAAAGGGTATGGGTGACCACCATAGGCAAATTCTGAAAAAGAAAGCTCAGATTTAACAAAAATGATACAAAGTGAAAGTAAGAACTGCAGACCTCCCTGACTGGTGGATCGATTCCAGGGATCTTCCAGTCAATGAGAACTTCACGAGCATCTAAAGCTAGACATCAGATGCTGCATTTACACTTGGATAACAACAGCAAGGAGCTGGCAATGAATCGTTTTGTTGATCAGTAGTCGACCTCAGCAAAAAGTGACAAGAAACTTCCTATATCAGCATGCAGATTTAATTAAAAAGTATGTAATTGTTTTCATTGCAGAAGTGAAGATTTAAAAGTGAAATTGTAAATTCTACCTACGTGTTTCACATGTGTTGGTCTCCAAAAATCCTCTTACATATTTAGATTAGAGATTCAAAGGATTGCATCCTCTAAGGTCTGATGACGTGCTACAGCTATACATGTGGCAACTAGTGTTAGCCTAATACATTTCTGAATCTCTTGCTAAGCAACAGTTCACCACCCCAAGCTCTTCTCTAATAGAAAAATAAACCCGTGCATGGATCTGAAGTCAGCACATGACATCTGCTGGTGTTAAGTCCTTAGAATTCATGGAGGTATCACAGTATGCTTCAACTTCCTTCTGTGTCTGTATGATAACAACGTGCCACTCCCAAGGTACAATAAAAAGCTTCAAGCATGACTTTACACTTCCTTTCCTAAAAACTTGCACTAAACCATCCACGTCTACCATGCAGTTCTGTGGATGATCTTTTTTACAACAGGTAAATAAATAAAGTGTGAGGTACTTTGAAAAATGCAAGTCATTCTTCCAGCAGGGGAATGATCTCTAACATGAGAAAGAAAGCTGCCATGACCTGAACAGGACGGGGAGGCACATGTATCTGGCACAGCACAAGTGTGTTTAAGGCACAATGCTATTACAAATCAGGTCTTTCTGGTTTGGATTAAATGACATTTTAGTAAGTTTTTAACAACAAGCATTATATTTCATCAATTCACCACTGCAAACCCAATGGCAGTGTTATTGCTCTGGCCACTGAAACACCTCCAGCATAAGATACTTGGCACAGCATTGGTTTTGCATCACATGCCACCACCTTTACTTACCTCCAAACACATCCCAGTAAAAACTTAAGGAGGCTTATTTACTTTTAAACAGACTACTTATAGCAACACCTTCATCTCCTAGGCTGGTTTTCCCAGAAGGTGTGAAGACCTTAGACCCAAGCCTGTGCTACAACACACTCAGAAACACCCTTTTTGGCAGCAGCAGGAACTGAAAGAGGCACAAAACAGCTCAGGAAGCTGCATCCCACAGTACAGCCTATTTAGCAAATTCAGACTGTGCTGCTCTATTTATCTGAGGTCTGTCTTTTTTAAATAAACAGCAGGCACGATCACCTTTTAAATAAACGTCTCTACAATTAAAAATTAACTCCTTGCACGAGTGCTGGCAGAATACGGATGAAATGGTCCCATTTCATTTATATGAAGCATACAGCTGGTGTTTCAAAACCTGAGCTATGTATTGCTATTTCTAGGGGAAGAGTCAGCATACTGTGATGTAGTTGCACACACAGCTTTACACAAGAATGCAGGATGATTCCAAATTGACACCCACGTGTTCTTTTTTTCCAGAGAACTCTGAAAGGAAACTGATAAACAGGTTTCAGGAACCAGACTTCCCTCACTACCTGACATACATTTGTTTGTTTGTTGTAGCAACACTGCTAGCACAAAAGTCAGGTTACGTACGTACCTCGGCCATACACCTCTATACCCGAATGGAATACTCCAATTCCAAGGGAAGAAGTATACTCATTCATCCAATACTAGAAGGAAAGAAGAACAAAAACCACTCCAGTTAGTTTCCAACACAGATTTGTCCTCAGACAGCAGACTGACAAATGCTCATCCCTCCATATCAAAAGCATGAAAGTCAAATAAAACTGCACAACCTTTAACTGGAACAGTGTATGCAATTAACTATACATGGTCAGTTAATTCCATTAGGTTTTACTCCATGTCTTTGTGCTGTTAGTCATTGTCTGTCAACCATGAAGCCCATACTTGGGAGAAACCCACTTTTTTTTTCTTTTTAATCTTTTAAGGATAGAACTTCAAAGTTTTCCACTAACAGAGTACATACTTGAATCAACTCCGATGATATTGCAAGAGCAAAACTGTTTCGTTGTTGTTGTTTTTAGAAAGGACATCAAAATGTAGAACTATTACACACAGACCCCAGTTGTTATTCACAGTGACCACACTTTTGCTTATGACCAGATGATCACAACTCAAGAGGTACTTAAGAGGAATGAAATGAGCTTGTATTTTGCCTTTGAATATTAGATTGCTGGTCTCCATATGTATGCAAGCTGCTGAATCACGGCGTGAACCACTGATTGAGCACCTGGGGAAAGGACCTGGTCAGCCTTGAGAGCACAGGTGAAGGCAATTCAGCTGTGTGACTGGAGTGGAGCCTGGCTGCACCTCTCTTAGACCTCATTTAAGGGCTGACTGCCACCAAGGAAGGATCTCTGGTTGGAGATCCTTTCCTTGTGGAGTTTCCCTTACAAGCCTAAATCTTCAGAGATGGGTGAGCTTTTTTCTCTTTTGTAACACCTTTCTACCACACCAGTCCTTTTGTCATCACACCTCTTGTATCACCATTCCACCACACTGATCCTTCTGATTGTTACAGCATACAACAGCCTGAACTCTCATTCTGCTCCTGATGTATCTGACTGCATTTACCAGATGTCCTTTCCATACCTCCAGTATGTGTTTACAATCTATCACTGCTGATCACTTCTATGATAAGAAACATAGCTGTATTTCAGTACTATTGCCACTTACCTCCTAAAAAGGTGGGGGTTGGGGAAAACCCTTTCCTCAGTGCTTTCTGTTTTCTTTTTTGGAAGTAGCAGTGTTGAATGCCTGTCAGCTAACAATTACCCTCAGCACCATGAAGACACACGGAGTTTGGAAAAAGAAAACCTCCAAAATGACTCTTTCCTTGGCTGCGTCACAACTTTCTTTTTCAAATTGCTCCTCGGAGAGTGATATGATGAATCTCCAAGAAAGGCTCAAGAAAAATAAAAACTCTCAGGTGAGTCCTTACAACTTCAGTAGACTAGGAAGTGAAACCTCTCACCAAAACCCAGCAATCTTTATCCTGTCAATTTCTCCAGCCGTGGGATCCTCCCTCCCTCCCATGTCATCCATTCCCAATGCACACAGCTGTGGGGCCGCAGGGCAGGCTGCAAGGAGGCAGCTCAGAGGGGACATGGACAGGGGGAGCACCTTCAGCAAGTTATTCATTTAGGAAATGGGAACAAAAGGGAAAAAAAAAGCTATCTTATTCACACAAACTGTTGACATAATATGTGCTTTCTGATCAGAAGTCACTACAAAAACAGCATAACAGATAATAATGTAAGAGGGGACAGGTGTCATGTTGTCAAGCGCGCTAGCTGGAGTTAGTACATAATTACAGACATTTTAGTTGACCTGGCATTTAATGAACGTTTCTGAAAGCCATTTTTCTCCCAGTAAGAATGATCCACTACACTTTGGAGTGAGATGCCACTCATGAAATCAAAGTCAAATGGCAAAAAGAACAGTTCAGGCCAAATGTTACAATGTTTCCAGCATCAGAAATGGATGTATTTGGCTTCTAGAGTCATCCTTATTCTAAGCACCCCCAAATTCAGCTGCTAGCAGTCACCAAACATCACAGTTGTGCTGGCAGGCACGGGACATGATAATTATCTGCATAACAAGACACCAAGGATTTGATGAGCTCTTCTTCAGACATGCCAGCTGGGGGAATTCTTGTCAACAGGAGTTAACAGCAGGCGGATTTTGCTCCTTGCACATATTTAAGGCCAAGGGTCATGGAGATCCGTGGATACATTTTGCTTAAGACTGGACCTTACAAGTGGCCTTGATGGCTGGCTCTGTTAATCCATCGCTACATCTGTGAGTGGGACGGGATGACTGTACTACACCATCACCTAAAGTAGGGTCTGACAAATTGTTTCCTTCTCTCTCCTTAGAAAAGAGCGAGTGCTGCCAGTCCATTTCTATCTAATCCAACCTTCTCAGATCAAGTATATCCAGAAACACATGGGGCCAGATCTACTTGGTGTAGAGAAACAGAACAGAGAAGGCAATGTTAAATGCTAAAACTGCCCAACTGCACTGGTAAAAAATAGATTCTGTTCACTGAAGTGAAATTAAAACCAGAACAATTCAAGAGCTTCTTAAACGTAAAGCTACCTCTAAAGCTCATTTTCTACATTTGTCCACTTCATCATTACAAAATAGTTTTATATTTATACTTACAATCAATACCATAGGAATATTCAACATAAAGTTTGTCAGCACAGGCAAAAAGTGTGCTTGCCTAATAAGAACGGTTGTCCAGCCCTACGTAACCTCAAACAGATGTGGACAGGGTCTGCAGAGCTCTGGTCCTCACCAGGACACCCATTTGGGCGGGAAATTCTGGGTCTGGCCTCCGAGTTCCAAATAATTCCCCACCACACACACGTCAGATCTGCTGCCTGACACGGGGACACAAGTTACACGAGATATCCCATAAGCACTGGAAGTAATAAAACTAGTTTGTTACTGGGCAGGAAAAAACAACTCTGCTCCTCCAACCTTGCGAAATCTGATGCCAGAGGCGGGAGCAGAAAGGCAGGCACCGAGCTGCCTCGTGGAGCCATGCAGGGGCAGGTGGATGGGATGGACAGCTGCTGCACTGCGCAGTTCAGCAAGCCCCGTGTTACTTGGGTGAGCGTTGCTCACTGCTGGCAGCACAGAAGTATGTGGATGCAGATTACCTGACCGCAGAAACCGAGCAGTGGCACCAGATTAAACACAAGTCAGCAGCTTGAAAGGAGTGCCAAAAGCACTTCGCTTTATATTTCCATAAGAACAGAGTAGGTGAATTGAAGACAAAAGAATTTCAGTAAGGCAGAATTACTTTCCCCCTAGGAACAGTAATTACATCTAATTATTACTTAATCTGAATCAGTTATTGGAAGCTCGGTGGCGTTCTCCCACTGAACGAAATGCCTTATCGCGGTGAAGAAAGAAATGCAGAACAATCACAGCTTAAAGGACACTGAGTTTGGCCACAGCCAAAGAGATTACACACAGCTTACAAAATAAAGATCACAACAGATTAAATGACATACGCATAGCTGGCTGCTTCGGTGACATGCATTACAATCTGGAAACCCAAACTGATCTCAAAAGCTACACTCAGGCTTCCATTGCACAAAACAGACTCCCTTCGTTTAGTCCGATCTGAATTTTGCTGTAGAAGAACGTCTAAGAGCACAGCCCCACATCCTCAGTATTTTGCAGCAAGTCGTTTTGTGAAACAGGGATTTATGTCTAACTAAACCATCAAAACAAAAATAATATGGATGTACGTTTCTATGTGCATAATAAAGTCATGTCACTGCATTGACAGAGACACTAATCCCACTGCTTCAACAGCATCCTCATTGCATTCTTCAGAGCTCCCATTTATGCTAGTAGTTCAGATCGTTAACGCCTTGTTTGACGTGGGAAAATAGGATGCTACTTGGGGCACAAAGACCCTATACTGCTACAGGGACAGCGGTTTGTGATAATGAAGATACAAAGTACTCCAGCTCCAAGCACTCCCTCTCCATGCCACTGCTTTCAGCAGGCTCTCAGTGGTAGCACTAACACTGCCCATGAAGCCAGGCTTCACTGAAGTGCCTGCTCCAAGCAAGAATAAAACAGACTGAGCGACCATTCTGAGAGAGAGTTCAAGGCTGCATGCTGACGGTGTCCCTCAGATACTATGGCATCCTCAGCTTTTCTTTCCTGTTTAGAAGAAATCTGCTTCTTTAGCAGTCAAATAACACAGATGCGATTATAAAACAGCCATAGCTGAGGTGGGATAAATAAACACCCCAGTTAGTGGTCTCAGCTCGTGCTATGTATAATTTGTGGTGATGTTCAGCTTCAGCAGATAAGCACACAACAAGCACCCCGATCTGACCAAACACCCACAGGTAGCTTTGCTGGCCTGCTTGTTTTGGAGAACGAGCTCTTTCCACAGGCGGTGGGCCTACGACTCTCCTTCTCCTCGACACAGAGACACAGCTACTGAGCTACTTGGCACATCCCAAGGGAAAGCACAGCCCTCCTGCTGCTGCCCGTGGCTCCTTGCAGTCTCTCCAGGATGGCTCTCACAGTCAAGGTCGCTCACCTCCCACATCAGAGGCATGCCATGCCTTTGACTTCACGGGTAATTGCTTGTGTAACAGCCTTGGAACTAAAGTCCTGTTTCTTTATACTTAATATAGTACTTATAACTAATGCACACAAAACCAGCTCTTTTAAGACTACAAGAGCTTTTCCCACACACATTTTTCAGTTGCAGTCCAAAGAAGCCCACTATATCACATCCTTCCCACTTGGGTCTACCATAACACACTGACAGCACCTCGCAGGCCCCATGTATGTGCTCGGCCAGGTTAGCAGGGCCCCTGTTCCTGTGCCTCTCTCAGCAAACACTGCTCCCATTCCCATTAACCACCCCTGCTCCGGCAAAGGAAACCCAACGCAGATGTAACAGGTTGCATTCACTGGCAACAAAACCCAAGCACAGGAAGTGGAAGGGAATCCTTTGACAGGGACCCTGTTTTCTTTCCGTCCGATACCTACCACAGAAACCAATGGCAATAATCAGATGCATAACTAAGTCCAAGCAGGACAGCACTCTATCAACTGCTAGCAAATACTCAAACACATGAGTACAAGACAATGCACTTCTCTGCCAGCAATGAGACCTACACTGTGCTCCTCCACCCGCCCAAAGCACCAGAAGTTCACTTCAAAACTGGTGGTGGTTCAAGGAGAGCTCGTCCCACACAGTTCCCAATGCTGTTGTGAAGCCTCCCTGCCCCTCACCACAGGCCCAACAATGCTCAGAGGACAACCAGTAGCACTCGATCTAATTTCCAGCTACTGAAGCGCATTAAGGGATAATATTTCCCTAATATTACTTATCCCGTGGCTGTACCATACAGGTGCTTCTGCCTCATTTGTTACTATGGCAGCTGAGCAGCTTCCAGCTGCATGCAGGGCAACCCAACAGCTGCTGGAGGTGTCAGCCAGGCATCACACGGGAAGCCAAGGTGAGCTCACAGCATGGCAGATCGGGATGAGGCAATTCCTTTATTCCTGCCAAGCGTCGCCATGCCACAGCAATACAAAAAATACCGACACAGCACTCAGAAACTTCCAACTTTCCAAAGACAGCGGTTACCCCCAGCCAGCACCCTGCGCAAGCGACACGTGCGGAGCAGGAACCTTCTGAAGGACGAGGACGAACTCCTCGCACAAATTAACGCTTTGCTCCTACTGCGGCTACAGCGGGGGGGGGAGGAGGAGCCCCTCTGCAGGCTGCGGACCCCGCAAGCTGCGACCCAGCCGCACGCCAAACTTTCGCTGCCGAGCAGAAGCGACGCGTCACCCCCGCATAGAGCCCCGCGCGGGGCGGAGGGAGGGAAGGAGAAAGGGAAAGTCCTCGGCGCCGCCCGCAGAGCCCCCCTCCCGCCCGCCTCCCGGCCCCTGCCCGCGGGCGCTCACCATGTCGTACACGTTGAGGATCACCAGCTGGTTCGCCATCGCCGGCGGCCCGCGAGCGCCCCGAGCCCGCAGGCTGCTCCAGTGGGGCGGCGAGGCTCAGGCCGGCGGCGGGGCGGTGGGCACCCCCGGGGGCCGCTTCCTCCTCGTCCCGCCTGTTGCTGCGGGGCGGGGGGGGGCGGCGGGCACCATGGAGCCGCCGCCGCGGAGGAACGGGGCCCGGCCCGCGGGAGGAGCGCTCAGCCCGCGGCCGGCGGCGGGGGCCGGGAGGCGGGGAGCGGGCCCCGCCCCGACGGCGGCAGCGGGAGAAGACGGGGAGAGCGCAAACGGCGGCTCCCGGGCAGCCTCGGTACCGCCGGCGCCAGGCAGGCCGGGAGCCCCTCGGATGGGCGCAAAATGGAGCCGCTCGAGCCCGCCCCCACCTTCCGCCAGGAGCGGGACGGCGGCGACTACAGCTCCCGGCGTGCCGCGCGGCTCCCGGCCTGCCCGGCGCCGCCCTCCTCACGTCGCTCCGCGGTTCCGCGTAGGCGGGGCGCGCCGTGCCGTGAGCGGCTACGGCGGGACGGGCTGTGCCGAGGTGTCGGCATCGGGGCCGTCCGGGCTGCCAGGACTGCTGGCGGTAACGGCTCGCGGTGCCTGCCGAGCTGTCGGCCAGTGTGGCCCCTGACTGACTGCTCAGGGCCATGCGCTCCGTCTGCTCCTGCGGCTGGGACCGGGCTGGTAGCTACAAACCAGAGGTTTGGTAGGCAGAAGCCGCTTCCGTATCAGGGGTTGCTGAGGAAAATTAAAACAGCGGTAGTCGAAACCTTGTCTGAAAACTGTGACAACCGAAGTTGTTGAGCTCACGGGCTCCTCTTCGTTCCTTGCCGATGACCTCTGTTCTTCGGTGGCTGCAGTTTGGAAGGTGATGAGAAAGAGCTGGGGAGGAGTCAGGCCAGCATCTTTCCGTGCCGGCCGTAGGCTACTTAGGCAGCTGAGGGGCCGTGCTCGGCATGTAGCACAGGGTGCTCAGGGTAAGTCTCCTCTAAGGTACAGCTTCTCTGCTCAGCATCTTATGTTCGTAAGGTCATTTGAGTTGGAAGGGACTCTTAAAGGTCATCTAGTCCAACTCCCCTGCAGTGAACAGGGACGTCCACTGGGACGTCCAGGGTGCTCCGATCCCCATCCAGCCTGACCTTACGTGTCTTCATTCAAGGTCAGTGTAAGGGCGTAGTGATCAGTTGTGGGCACTGTTACCTCAGAACTGTAACGTGTGAACTCAGGGACTTCTGCCTTGTAACACTGAAAGGTACTTGGGCCCTGAACAGGAACACAGAAAACCTCCTTCAAGAAAAACAAAAGCCTGAATTTTGTCTGACTATGAAACTATACTACATTTATTTTATGGTTGCATGGTAGCCATTCAGTCATGGCCTGAACCACTGATTGAGCACCTGGGGAAAGGACCTGGTCAGCCCTGGGAGCACAGGTGAAGGCAATTCAGCTGTGTGACCACAAAGGGTGGAGCCTGGCTGCACCTCTGTTAGACCTCATGTAAGAGCTGACTGCCACTAGCAAAGGATCTCTGATTGGAGATCCCTTCCTTGTGGAGTTCTTCCCCATAAGCCTAGATCCTTGGAGACAGATGAGCATTCCTTTCCTGTTTGTCCTTTTGTCATTCCACTCCTGTATTGCCTCCACTGCACTAATCTGTCTGACTGTACAACGCCATAACGTTTTACTAAGCTTGTATGGAGAGATCAGTTTAAAGACTGGTCTGATTTTTTTGTCTCTGTGGGAAATACTGTTGTCTACTTAGTTTTCACAGGTGTAGAAACAGTGAAGAGTAGAGAAGCAGCAAATTTCAGCTGTAGCAGAGAGCTGAGAGAACACTATGGTGGCCAGAGAAATGCAGAGTGCCTCACATGGGTGTTGCTATGAAGCTGTATGCATGGGATGTATGTGAAGGGAAAGTGGAACACAGATGTGTAGATACTGCAGAAGGAACTGGAGGGCTTCCACCTGTGCTTCAGCCCAGGGGGCCGTCCTGCCTAAACGAAGGTGGGCTTCAGTAGGAACAGACTTTCACTGGAGGTGAAACTTCTAAGCTGATCACTTATTTTTTTTTTTCTGATTTCCATCTTGGTGCAAACAGTACTGAGATACACAGGGTATGAGTCACACAAAATGAATCAGTAACTATTTTAAAATGTGCTCATATTCAAGCTAGATTTCTACAGATTTTAAAATCTTTATGAAAATTTTTGCAAATGATGAATGTTGAGAGCAATTGTAAGAATTTCAACATTTATTTATCAATAGAGTTTTGTTAATTTGTTTTGGAGAAATGAAACAATTGCCATTAAGAGCATAAGCTTTGCAAGGTGTGTTCATTTGATGATAAGAACATTCAGGCTGGAAGCCTGACACTTTTAACAGCTTCAGATGGTGTTAAAAATAGATGCAAGCATGACTGCTTATTGATATAACAAATGTAACTACTGCAACCAACTATAACTTTTACAACTATATTATAACAAACATTTATATACTGAAGAAGTGAATAAGCTTGAGAGGAAGTATGATCCAAATACACACTTTAAGATAGAATTAACATTTCTTAGCAGAAGTAAAATATGTAGCATCAAAAGACATCGTCAGAAACACACAATATTCCCTCTGTGGACTGTGCTGAGCACTTTCAGAACTTGATTGGCTGCAGCCCTTTGACAGAGCAGAAACTTTGCCTGCATTGTTTTATCAGATTTCACACTGAAAAATTATGCTGATACCATAGTTGAGTCAGTGAAAATCATAATGTGAAGCCAACTCAAGCGTGAGGCTCACAGCTGCAGCTTAACTTAGCTTGGCTTGGAAAATGTCTTTTAAAAACTGTTAGCCACACCAGATCTCTGCTCCTATAGGAGCTCTGACATGTTGACTGGCATGCCCTCTGTATATGAAACTAAATGCATTAAATAGTATTATAGAGACATAAGAAGTACTTGCAAAACCATCTGTTAATAAACAGTGTATCACTTTTCCCAAACACCATCCTATTTAAAGTTTTACTTTGTTAGTGTATCAGTGAGATACTGGCCTTTAGGTCTTCTGCCCAGTGTTTCAGACTTCCAAGTGAGGCTGTATCTGTAGCAGAAGGTGGCGCAGACCAACAAGGTGCTGAGTGTGATGAAGGAATAAAACTTAGCCATAGAAACATCTGACCTGGAATGCAAATAAAAATATAATCATTTTTTAGATTCCTGTCAACAGCAAGTGAGGAATAGGTCAGATTTCATCATAGCAGTACAGTCACTTGGTACAGTAACTTAAGACAGTATTCATCTGGTTAATCATTAGGTATTTCTTGTAATCCATATGGTCATGATTCCAAATTCAATAGGCATGTACCATAGTGAGTTGCTTCTTCCAACAAGTGGCAAGATTCCTTTGATTAAGAGTCACAAATAAAGCCTTAAGTAAAAGCACTGGAGCAGTTAAAAGTTCATTTGGTTTAAAAACCTCACCAACTCCAGCTATCTTTTATACAGAAACAGAAGGTAAAACACCACCAGAATTGCAGTGTGAAGCAGGTGTTATCCATTGTTTACTTTCAGCCTGCAGACTGGGATAAAAGAATTCTCTCTAAACACTTCTTACATAGTTAAATTAGTTTGTTAACATGGCCAAAGCAATTCTCTCAAGTGTCTGGTGTGCTGGAGAAGTGCAGATGGGATAATGTTCAAATTTGATTTTCGTTTCCATCTGTGGAAATCCTTTATTGTCAGCAGGGGGCCGTGCAAATAGGATTTCTGCAGGATAGGTGCAAGTGGCACAAACTGAATGTAAACAGTCACAAGGGAAGCATCTGGCTTTCTGGGTCTCGCACGAACATGGAGTTAAAGCAGGTGAGGCCTCACAAGCTGAAAAACACCCTGCTTGCTTTCAAGCAGAGGTTCTGAAGAAGCAAAATCTTTAAAAACGTGCAGATAACTTCTGTCTTTATCTATGAATCATCTGTACAGAGAAAGAACACAGTATCTTGCCTTCTTGTTTTTGTACTATCAAGTATATTTCAAACAACAGCAACAACAAAAACCCAACAACAAAAACAAACAAACAAACAAACAAAAAAAGCAAAAAAGGAAGACCAAAAGGAGGATCTAATATATTAAATAAAAATCCATTAAAAATATCCACTAGCTGTTATCTTTCTGTTACACCATATGTACGGACTGCAAAGACTGTTTTTAAATCCCAAAAGCTGAAATAGACAAGAAAAGCTGTTGGGCTGTTTTCATCATTGAAGCAAAGGCAGGGTCAGGCTCTGAGCAACCTGATGTAGCTGTAGGTGTCCCTGTTCATTGCAGGGCAGTTGGACTGGGTGGCTTTTAAGGGTCCCTTCTAACTCAAACAATTCTATGATTCTTGGATATTTCTGAAGATTCTCAGCTCACCTATGTTTATTTACAAATAGTATTGTTCTTTTTCTTGTAACTTCCTCATTGTTTTCAGATTATGTAGCAGGTGTTTATTTTGTACACTAGTCCAGAAAATGGAAAAGTCATGGATTTCAAGAATGATGCCTGAATAATTTCTGAGTTAGAGCTAGGTTGAAGTGGAAACATTGGAAACACCTGAGCCAAAGGAATTGCTGAGCAAAAATATTTTTAAAATATAAACCATCCGCATTTTTTTCCATTTTGATCCGACACCATCACACTTTCTTTTTAAACATTAAAAAAGACAATAACCTGTAGTTTCGAGTTAATATCCTCACTCTGAACACGTAAGTGGCATCATGACTAAAAGGCCGAGCCATGTGGTTTTGAGAAGTGCTGTTTAAAATCTGATACTGCTCATTCAGTCCTTCCTTTGAACTGTTCTCAAGCTCAAAACAGGATCTGTAATTCTGAACAACAACAAGTTATTGCTGAACTAGCTCTGAAAAGCAATTCAACACAAAGACTGATTTAGTCATTCTTTCTTTTTTTGCTTTTTAATTTGTGGGCAGTGGCTAAAAATGATAAACAGATTCTGTTGTGTAAATGTACAAATTAGATGTCCTATGAACATAAATGATCTAATTCAGTCCCTTCACAGCACTGTTAAGAAACTGCCAATAACTTCCCAAACACAAATATCAGTTCTTAAAGGAACTGTGTTTATCCTAAGGTCATCACCGTAGGGAATTTGCTGATCTTATTGTGGTCAGTCTGCACTCAGTTTATCTTATCAGCCTCTGCTATACAGACCTTGTCTACTACTACACAGAAAAGACGGAACGTAAAAAGCGAGCGAACTTGGAAATGCCTCCGAATTTACATCTGATGCTTCAGAAGATATTTTCCTTGATCAGAAAGGGTGACGAAGATGATTCATAATTATGGCTGAATTCCAGACAAGAAACTCTCATGCAGACAGGACAAAGCAGTAGCTCTGTGATATTATATGTTATATAATCTATGTCTATATATATTTTATCTTTTCCCATCCAGCTTGGCTGCTTGATGGTTACAAAACAAAACAGTATGTCATGGTTTATACATTCTCTTTATGTTCTTTCCGACTCCTAACGCTTGTGAGTTCCTGGCATGGGAATCTAGTCAATCAGCAAAAATAAAATTATTACTTACTCTAGATTCATTATAAGGTTGTATTATCTGTGTAGATTTATATACAGCGTGTTTTTGGTTTGATTTGGCTTAAATATTGATTGTCATTCTACTGAAAAAGAAGGAAATGTCCTCACTTTACTCATAAAGAGATTGGGCAGAATTTCTCTGGACAAGACAGTGTGAATTAGTGAGTATTGTTTTATTTTCTCTATGGAGAGAAGACAGTCTGAAATTTCAAGTTTTTTAAGCTGCATTTTCCAAATCAGATTCTAAATGCAGATTCTTTTTCTTTTCAGTGTATTGCTTTGATAACTCCCACATGCTTCATTTTTCATATTGAATACAATGTTAAATCTAGTATAAATTTAAAATGTTAAACTTCTAAATCCATCCATTCAGATTAAAGAAATCTCAACATGTGTAAGAACAGTCCTATTTTCCATGTAGACCATTATGCACAAAGTACTTCAATAGCATTCTCAGTAGTTGGCTTACTTTTTTCGTGGATGAAGTGTACCCATTGTCAGTTCTGCCTTTTATTTCCCATAATACAAAATTTGCTTCAACATTTCTAACACAAATATCACCATCATATCTGTAAAACATGGAATGTGATCCTAATTAGAACAGAAGAAACACATACAGCCTTTGTATTTCTAACTGTGCATGGATCAGTAAGCATGTAGAGCTGCTGTGGCTGCAGAGGGTAAGGTAGGTAATCGGTGATCCTATCTACACTGTGCAAAATGCTAAGGTGTCTTAGGGCATCTTAGAATTACAACAAGTGATTAAAACTTACATCTTAACAGCAATGTGCCTTCCTGGAGGGCAGCCAACAAAAAAGTGGGAGACCTGGTAAAAAACAAAAACAAATCACAAACCAACACATTTTAATTTACCCAGGAAACTTTCCAGAAATGAGCTTCATCACAGACTTGAGAGAGGCTGCTCACTACTAGAGGGAATAATGACTACAAGAACTATTGCACAAATCAGCATGATAATCCAGTAGTGTGGCTCCCTTCTAGTCCACAACTTATCACACCTTACTCATCTCAGACACTTTGGCATCAAGACTATTCTGTGAACTTTCCTCCTTTTGTATTTATTCTTGAAAAGTCTTTGTTGTTTTACATCATGTTAATTAAAGGGGATGCTATACGGTGAAATCCTCTTGACAGTAGGTCAGGAATTGGTGGGAGGCATTGTTACTGCATTTTTTTCAAGCTACAGTGCCTACCTGATGCTGTAATTCACATGCATTTTCAGCAGCACGAGGCTTCAGTTCAGCTGACATAACACCACTGGTCAGTTCTCTACAAAAGAATCCCCCCACCCAAACAAGAGTTCATGTTATAATTTATTTTGAAATCAGTCGTTAACACCAAAGTAACTTAATTACAGTAATAGGAAGGTAATTTCATTTGGAGGCAAGAAGCACTAATTATTATTACTTACTGTTACTTTATTATCACATCACCTACAATTCAATGTCTCTTTTACTCTCACTGTAGTAATTCAGGCATTATGGGATTACAGGTGGATGTCTGGAACTGAGAGTCAGATCTAGTAGTTAATAATTTTAGATGCTTACTGATTCCAGAGAATCAAGTTTGACATTATTAGACCTCCGGGTTACTTTTGAATAACACAGTAGCTACCCAAGGATGGAATATTTTGTTTTTATTTTTATTTGAGTTTGCAGATAAATGACACTGTGAAAAGCAGAAAAGCGAAGTTTGGGTAGGAGACTGATCAACGTAATGGGAGATTTAAAATTGCTTATCACTGAACCCACTACCAGGGTGAGTACAATCTGGAATTAGGCAGATGGAGATGAGCAGAGTTACATCCTATCCTATTTCACATTTTGTGAACTCTGGCTTCTATTGAAGCCAAAATTAAAGGCATGAGACAACCTGCTGTGGCACTGAATCTGAAGTCTGTCAGAGACTGCTGACCGAGGCAGCCCTGATATGCAGTACTTACCAAATTCTGGTGTAGTTTTCCATAAATAAATCAATTTCAGAAAATCATCAGACCTTGAAAAGTGTATTGAAGACACCCAATGGTATTTCCCATCTATGATCTGATATTCTGAAATGGCAAGGCTTGTTCATGAGTATTTTTAGCACTCTTTAAAGGAGAATATTAAGAGTTGAATTGGCAGCTTGATTCAAAACTTTGAAAGCATAACTATTTTTGACAAAGGAATAATCAGGCTACTTTGTGCTTTGATGCAGAGCATCACAATGATATCATCAGATGCATATAGTGTTCTTTATAGCTCTATACTTCAAGATATTAATGTTAAGACATTTGTCCTTGAGTCTTTGACTGAAATCAACTGCACAATATTTATAACTTGCCAAGAAGAAATCCATTTTGACTGATTGGGATGGAGGAAAAAAAAAAAAGGCGGAATGGCACATCTACTCAAATTGTAAAAGTTTGTAAATCATCACTGAAGGCAGCAGTTGATACTGAAAGAAAAACTGAACAGCATGCTGTTGGGAGAGAGCGGGGAGAACAAATTCTGAAGTAATCAGACATCTCCAAACGAAGGGCTTAAAGACAGACTTTTATCACATAGACAGTAGAGAAGTCACTTGCCTGAAAGAAACCAGATTTGACTGCATAGTGATGCTTGCACAAAACACAAGCAGAACTGTCTCAAAAACTGCAAATAATTTCTCCCTATGAAGTAGGCTTGATTTATGCTCTGAGTTAGAAGGATGTAGAGGCATCAAATCTCTTACAGTCTTTCTCCCAGATGGAGATGCAAGATGTAGGGGCCTGCCAGTGGTAGACCTACTGATAGATTTTAGGTTGCTTCACTGAGTGGCAGTGAGATTCTTGTGGGTCACAGTTGGTAGCAGCGAAAATGTGTGCTCACTGAATGAACTGTGGGAGCTGGGTACACAGGTCAGTGAAAAGGCAGAGGAACTGAATGCTTTCTTCAGCTTAGTCTTCACCAGCAAGACTGGACTTCAGGAATCCTAGGTCCTAGAAATCGGGGGTAAAACTGGAGCAAAGAAGTGCACTGTTTATCATATTGGATATCCTTTTAATCTGTGCTCAAACTCCAGTGTTTCAAAGGAGAGCGAAAAGAAACACACCTTCCCTTATGGTAATTTGGCCATTAAGTGTTGGGGAAAACCATACCTTTCTAATTCCTACAGCACATCCAGTGGAACACTTAAGTATTATGTTAAATTATATTCATTTTCTTGTGCAAAGTTGTAAGAATTATGAAAATGTTGAATGCAACAGCCTCTTTTATTAAAATACAAAAAACAAACTGATTTCTTAGGCCTCAGATTGTAAAACTGCTTCACTCACCAAATGATTTGATTGTAAATCCTTCCCAGTATTTTTATACTTCTTTTGAATGGTGAATATCAGAAGAGGACACAACTATCTAAGCCTCAGCTTTATCAATACTATACATCAGTGCAGCTTGATCTTTTTAGTTCTTATTCGTATTCCCTATGTTATACATACACCAAATCCTTACAGAGCCTTTGCCAGAGCACTGTACTAAGGTTACACATTGAGGTGCTGACTTTAACAGCAGCTGAAGTCATCTCCCTCAGACAATGGCTTAGTTCAGTCATGTGGTACACTTACTGATCTCCTGCATATCTTTGTAGGAAGAATGGCTCTTGATTTGCATGCATTATGTAAGGTTTAGAGTCTGGAAAGTCTCTACAATATTAATAAAAAGGCCTACCAAATGAGAGAAATTTCTTTAGCCTCCTGCAGGCTACCAATTTGTCATCAATTCATTCACATTAAAAAGACATCAGCATCTTGCTTGTCATAGGGATATTTCCATTTCTAAAAAAAGGTGGTTAATAGTCAGAACTATCACTTCAGTAACTTGAGTGTAAACACTTTTAGAGATGGAGAGATTGGAATAAACCTGTATGCAAATCCAAAACAAAAATGAGCATAAGAAAGATAGGATTGGTTTCCAACCCAAGATCCTCTTATGTGAATATAACCTAGGGATATAAGTTTGTTTAACAGCTGAACCTTCACCCATGAATATATAAATGCTGAAAAACCCTATCAGTATCAGCATTAAAAAAAAAAAGAATGAATCTATGTATTAGGTGGACACAGTTTTTCCAAGTAGGCTGCATATACCCCTCCCTGAGGTATATAAGCAAGCATCAGCATCTGCCCATTAGCAATATTAACATTATTATTTATATAATAATGGTCACATTAGCTAGTGAAGTCCTAATGTGCTTTTAACTCCTACTTATCAAAACTACACTATCAAATTTACATCTACTGTATACATTTTCTGATACTCACAATGCCTGTGTATAATTGGATTCTAAAATATTGTCAGTTTGATGAGAAAATGTAAATTCCTATAAAAGAATAAAGAAAAATAATTAGTAAAAATCTTTTGACCACAGCGGTGCTTTTAGAGAGACAAAGGATATCTTCATGATACCTGGAGAATCTGAAAAAATGTCCAGTTCTACTTCTGTAATTTGTTTTTATGGCTTCTCCACAGTGCCAGCGACAGGTGACAGACAATCTTTTCCCTCTCTGTGTGGTTCTGACTTGCCCAAACAGTATATCTGGGAATCACCTACTCTAAAATAGGTATTTAAACTATGGGCTACATGCACAAACCAGGAGCCATCACATAATTAAGAAAAATTCACTGGAAAAAATAAGCCTTGAACCTCTGCATTCTTCATGTTCTTCTGTAAAAGGTACCCACAAGTCTATTCTCAGCCTAAGCAATGCAGTTCCTCCCTGAAACATCTGAGGCACTGTCATGCCTGCAGTGTGTTTTCAAGGACTTCACAACTCAGCATCCTCATTCCCATTTCCTGCCTTCTCCTTGATTCTGCACACAGACATTTATGATTTGCTGTCTTCAAGAGGTCCTGACCATATGCATAGTAGCTATCTGGTCACATCTACTTGAATGCCAATCCTATTCCACTGTAGTCAGCTCTAAAAAAAAAAAGTTTTTTTTTTCTAATCAGTCATTAGTTCACACACTCCAGCACTCAGCCACTATGGTTACCTCTTCACTCTCAACCTTTCATGGGAAAGAAATCCAGCAAGTATGGATGAGAATTCTATGAGAACAGGTGGGAGAGCTGTAAGACAAGGATAGGAAGACAAACGAAAGAAAGGAAGAGCAAGGAGCCATGGTCAACGGACAGTAGAATTACAAAGCTGCCTAAATCCTCAACTGTTCCTTCTTCATAGGCACAGCACAAGGAAGCAAGCGCCACCTAAGAATACTGCAAAAAATTTCCTTCAACATTTTCAAACCCAGTCTGCACTTTATGGCCAGCCATTCTCACATAGATTAGAGGAAAGAAGTGATGTCTATGACATCATGGGAAATGAATGCAGATCCGTTTCAAGGGAGGTTGCGAGGATATACATCATGGCACTGAGACAGAGCTGGAAACAGACCACTCACTCTCTCTCCTCAGTGATGACCACAGAGCTGTGTTTAGGGGAAGCATGAGGTGTGTGTCGTGAACAAGCAATGGCAGCTGATTCTGCCTCCAGCCTTCTCTCATCAGATCTTCTTCCTCTACAGCAATTGCTTTTGCCATTTCACAGCTCTTCAGTTAATGACCTTTCCTGAGTTTAGCCAGAACAATAGTGCATAGGTCGGTGTTTTTATACTAGAGGTTGAGCCTCAGTTACAGCTTTATTTCTGAGGTAGCCAGTTGGGAGACAGTGAGCTTGTACAGGCTGAGGGAAGGACTTAAATTCTTGAGAAACAGCAGTTACTTCACAACAGACTGTGACTACGGTATACACATCCAAACTAGCAGGTTACTTAAGCAGGAGAGAGACACTTTTGAGATGTATGGATGTAACAGGCATATGTGACGGGGTTTTGATAGCAGGAGGCTGCAAGGATAGCCTATGTGAGAAGAACCCAGAAGCTGGCCCACTTTTGATAAAAGACAGTTCCAGTGGTGCCTAAAAGGACCCACCGATGGCCAGAGGTGAGCCACTGTGCACTGCTGGTGGTGATTCTGGGAGGGCAGATCTAAGAAAACAAAAGATACTGTGCCACAGCAGCTGTGAGAGAGGGGTGAGAAAATGTGGGAGAAGCAACCTTGCAGCCACCAAAGTCAGCATAAGCATGCTCATGAATGCAGGCTCTCTCTTTAGAAGTAATCACTATGAAAGCTGCTTCAGTAAAAACACTTGACCTCCTCTCATGGAACCATCAGTATGACTTTGTGTGGTACCTTCAGCTGGAGGGATTTTACTCCCCCAGCTCCTGTCTAGCAGTTCAGAGATGCGAGAGACGTGGGAAGCCTGACTGCCAGTGAAGACTGAGGCAAAAAACTCGTTGAGTATCTCAGCTTTCTCCATGTCGGTTGTTACCTCTATTCTCGTTAACTAATGGGGATACACTCTCCTTTGCCTGTCTCTTCTAACCAATGTTTCTATAGAATTCCTTCTTGTTATTTTTTACATCCCTTGCCAAGTTCAGTTCCAGCTGTGCCTTGGCTTTCCTGATCCCACCTTTGCACATCTGGACAGCATCCTTCTATTCCCAGGTCACATGTCTGTTTCTACTGCTTAAGCATTTCCTTCTCAATGATGCTGTGATTATAATCTGAAAATGAATGCCTTAAAACATCAGAAATTCTTTGATGTACTGAAAAACATATTATTGCCATGCCTATTTTTCTCTTGGGAAAAATTAGTTCTCACATTGTTAGTCAAATGCAATTGGTAAAACCAAATAAAATTAATCTTCCTGTAACAAATACTAAGGATGAAAGCCTCAGTTTTCTTGTTAGAAACACACTGAGTAGAGGGGTGCAGGTTAGAATCATGCTGATAGGAATGCAAGTTAATTGTGTCCAAGTAACAGTTTGCTAAATACTTTCTTGGTGCTTCTTTCCATCAAAAATTAATATTTCAGTATTAACAGACCAACGAATTGAATAGATATTCTTGTATTGTCATTTACAAGATAGCTTCAATGGTCTCTTACTTTACATTTATTTACCACTTACTAAAAAAAGAAAGTTAATAACTACTTAAAATAAAATATACTTAACCGAGAATAATCTGGTGGATAGTGCTCCCATCAGACATTTCTGGTAGTGTTGATCCAGATACAGGAAGATATCCATTATCCATGCTGTTTTTACAGGTGTAGCAAACACATCATCCCACAGCATTCCAGAAGATAATGCTGAATTTATGTATATCATCCTCATAGCAGAACTGTGAGGAACAGGTAAGCAAAAATCTCCTAAGCCCCAAAGTTGTCTGCCTTCATTATAAAATGCCAGAAAAAATAGTCTGGAGGAGCTGCAGGCATTGCAAATAAGTGACATTGTCACTTTGCATGGGACTGAGTCACAGCTAACAGTTGTTACAGTTAAAGAAGCAGTGTTTGGAAAACTGACGATCTTCACTAAGCTTGCAGTATCTGCTATTTTATTAAAAGCTTCATTGTATCCAACATACAGCTCAGTAGACATCCCTGCTGCCCAAGTACTTAATTGTTTTCCACTCTGTTAAAAAAAAACGAACACAATGATTATGTAAACACTATCTTCTCATAAGGTTCATATCAGGGACGTACGCTAAGAAATCAAGATGTTCTGGGAAACATTTTCAACTAATGTAACTGCCAAAGCTGCATTGAAGTCAATTTACAAATTTAAGCCATGAGTCTAGAAACAATGTCAAATGGCCGCATAAGGTCACACAGAGCCACGGAATGTGGACCCTATTTCAGAATGTCTTTAAATAAGTTTGTTGCTGTCTGGTAATTTCTGTCACCCCAGCCTAAGAACGATTTAAAAGAGACCTAAAATAGATGTATCCAGGCATTTAATGAAGATCATCCACATCTTAAATGTCAAATGAGAACTGCAAATAACTCACCTGCACTGGATAAACAGATGAACACCAATATCTGGAATGCATTCCAAGTATTTCACTCTCAGGAAGCTTGTGTTCTGCTCCAACTTCAAAAACATGTCTGGCGTCTCTTTTATAACAAGTGCTGTTTATTAAAAACGAGATTCCATTATCTGACAGAGCCACAACAGTTATATTGCTATTTAGGCCTTTGGTCAAAATATCTGAGAGAATTTTAATTTCTATGTGTGTCCTAAATGCATCGTTTGTATAGAAAGTTCCAAAATTTGATAACAAAACTGCTGTCATTGGAAAACATGCAGACCATTTAATAGGGAGTTCACTACTCTGAAGGGAACAGAGCGAGATGTCATTTTCCTTGCTAGGAAATGACTGTTTGGGCCTCGGGACTACAAAAGAAGTTCTTTGAACAAAGCACTCCTGAAATACTCCAGTTATTTTTATGATGATGTCATCAGGTATTTCAGGTATATCAGCTACCCATAATCTGAAAATGAAAGAAACAAAAAGGTAAATTTGAAAGATGAAATCTTACTGTTGGACTGACTGATGGAAATTGAGGTATGTAAGTAATGTCATATTCTTAGAAGAACTGCACCAACAGTGGTACAGAATTATTTCTTAAGCCTTTTCTAATTTCCAGAAAGTAGATAATGAAATCAAAGGAGGAGAAAAAGATTTAAAATCTGCCTGTAATTTCTAAGCAGGCATATTCTCTACCTCAGTGATCTCTGGGAACTTTCTGTATATGCTTTCATACATATACCTCAATAAGAATTGAGTATCTGAAGTTAAAAATGAATGGTTGTAACATTATTATAGCTTCAGTGAGTAATACAGCTTTCCCTACTACTGAGAGAACTTCTCCCCCACCTTTCCCATAGCCCCCATTGAGCCACCTGCAATACACAGAAGAAAACAGACTAACAGGAGCTAATGTGAAACCACACTGCAGTTGATGACTGGAGCCACTGATGATCCAGTAAGGATTGTGTTGATAAGCAATAAGAGAAAACCATGCATAACAGAAATAGTCTATAACAATATGTCCAGTTTCTGCAGTACACAGCGTAATAACAGATCTGATGGATGCAAGAGTCAACATCCCTGAAGAAGGTTACTTCTTCAAAATTAAGGCCCAAGTAGTTCTATTTCAATACATCAGGATACAGCAGGGCTGATACAAACTTAGAACAGAAACAAAAAATCAGTTCAGTATAAAGGAGATCTAGGAGGAATATAAGCTTTGTAACTTTGGCTTCTGAAGAAAATGTGATAGAGGACACTTTTCCTATACTTGCAGACTGTCTGGATTTCCTAAGAAGCTGCTGACCTTCAGAGGAGACAGCAAATTTTTAGCAAAAACTTAATGAAACCACGAGTCTGTCCAAGGCCCCAAAAGTAAGAGAAGCTGGCAGATCAGTTGAGATTGGTTTTGCTTCTTCTTCTCTCTTAGTCTGAAATTTCAGACAGCGGTAACCATCTTGACCAGTCTGACTAGAATTTGAATTAGTCTGCTGGCCCTGTGCTCTCAACAATGATGCTGGATTACGGGACACTTGTTGTTACACCTCAGATGTGTTTTTCTGCTAACAGATGCATCAACTTTCAGACTTATGGCAGTAAATTAAATATTGGAAAAGAACAAAATGATCCAAATTCTGTTCTTGTTGATATGAATGCTGCTGGCTTCAATAAAAAAAGTTGCTGCAAAATATCCAAGTGTGTATGAGAAGATTTCGGTGAATCAATAGACTCACTGTTAAAATAAATTACAAAGCAATTTTATTTTCTCTTCCTTGATTATTCTGCACTTCAGTTCTTTAAAAAAGGAATAGTCAAAAAGACAAAAAAGAATACCAGGACTCATATAAATAAGAAACAGTCTACAAAAATGGCCAGAATGTTGTGTTCCCACTTCACGAGGTGGGGCAGGGGAGGATTAGTTCAGTTCTGCTGTGAAAAATGTTACAGAAAAAAGCTCATCTCTGATTACAGCAGCTTTTGACACGGAGTGTTGCTATGTTGCCATCTAGCGGTTACACAGTTAGATACAACTGATGAAGATGCCTGAGAGCAAACCAAACCTACCTAGCAAGTATTTAAAACACCCCTATTAAAACCGTACTCGCTTCTTGCAGTATCATACCCAGTATTCGTTATATGCTGAGAGTCAATTCTTCAATAAATAGAAAGTACAGTCACAAAATAGTAGCGAGCATGTTATAATGTGTTCAGAGAGTAAAAATAGGAGTAAATAAAAGACAGATGGCAAATACAGTTGCAGGAAATGTCTGCAGTTGAAAATCCTCTGTAAAATGTAAACCCAGAGTAATTTTCATTATCTTGTGCAAAAATTTAGCTGATATATTTGGATTAGCTTCACTGGAGGTCTATGTAGGTTAAAATTTTACAGATAATAAAACAGGTGACAAATACCTTTGCGAAATATTAGTCCTTATACTTTCACACGACTGTCATTTACTGTCTTGATCTATTTTCTTATGAACTCACAATCAAATAAACTGTGACTTTTTTTCTCACTGCTGTTTTATTTTTTTTTCACAGCACGTTGGAACGTATGGTGAATAGTACACACTTGTGGAAAGAAAAAAGTATTTGTCCTAAAATGCAGTAAATAGTGCTAAAAGTAGAGCAACTGACAGTAGGAGAGGCCTCATATTAGATTTATTCTTCTAAACTACTGGAAAAAAAAAACCAACCTGTGCAGACGTCCTTCATCAAGGGCTCCAGCACAGAAAAGACAGGAATAGAAGCAGATGGCATTGCCTCAGGAAACTTTTCAAATGTAAATTATCAGATACATCAATTGCCTTTTTGTCAATGTCCATACTCAAAGTCTTACCGTAATTTCTTTATTTCCAATTAAACTGACATAGTTGCCTGTGTAGTGAAAGATACATAATAATCCTTTGGAATCCTATATAGCCTTTGTAAGAAACTCCAACAAATGTCACCTGCTGGTGGATGCTGTAGTATAAAGAAGCACCTGTGTCCCCTTCAGATTTCCCTCACCTCCAGGCACTTTCTTGCTATCCTATTTCCTATACAGCACATGCAAACACACTGTAAAGTAAACAAGCTTTAAAAGGAGTATAAATACTTTGGTTATTATTTTATCACAAATATTTAGAACTACTGCCCTACTACCGATCATGAAGAGTATATTTAAGTATTGGTTTTTGCTGGAAGACTCACAGAAAATGACAAAATCTTAAACAAACAGGTGAAAGAAAGATAAAAGATGTCAAAGATGTTTTGCACAAATACCAGGACTCAAACCTGAAGAAGTGCTGTGAGTTAACCTGGTATGCAGCTAAGCACAACTCAACCGTTTGCTCACTCTGTCCCACAGCAGAAACTCCCGCTCATGTGAGAGGTGTTCAACTTGTCAGCTCATGGGTTGAGATAAGGACAGGGGATAAGGAAGAGGGGAAAAAACAACAACAAGAAGAAAAGAATAAATAAAGAATAAAAAACAAGTGATGCAAAGTGCAATCGCTCACCACCAGCCAACTGATGCCCAGCCAGTCCTTGAGCAGCCGCCCCTCCCAGTGAACTCTCCTCACTTTCATGATTCAGCATGGTGCTATATGGTATGGAAAGTCTCTTTGGCCAGTTTGGGTCAGCAGTCCTGGTTCTGACCTTTCCCAGCTTCTTGTGCCCCCCAGCATCCTTGCTGGCAGAGCAGTATGAGAAGTATGAAAATTATGAGGAGCTGAAAAGTCCTTGACTCAGCACAAGCACTGCTCAGTAACAACTAAAACATCGGCTCTATCAAGACTGTTTGCATCCTAAATCCAAAACACAACACCCCACCAGCTACTATCAAGAAAAATAACTCTATGAGAGCAAAATTAGGCCAACAAGCCAGCAGAGATACTGGAAGCAGTTTAGTTGACCCTGAATGACATTCTACCTGAGCTACCTTCTTTTTGTGTCACATGAGGTAAAAATGTGCAAATCCCAAACTTAGAAGCCTAGAGGAGGGTGAATAACAGCTGGCCAGTGTTTTTTTTTTCCAAATGAAAAAGAAATGCTTGACACAATAGCTCACATAGGTTCTAAAGTTCCACGAATGGCGTGACTGAATGGGGGGACATTGAGCTTCAAGCAGGTATCTATAGCTTGATAATTAAGACTCAGCGACCATTTGTTACAGTAAAAACTTTAGGTGATTTTGGAGTCTAGTCATGCTTTCTACTCCTTGGGCTTCTGTACATACAAAGTAGAACAATTATATGCAGAGAGCTTTTTGGCACCGAACTGCATGATTATGTAAATTTAAGTATTATGGCGAATGAAACAAAGGGCAGATAAACCTGCTGATGACAAGCTGTCTTCAGAGAAAAGCAAAAAGAGCAAAATTATTACTGAACACAAAGTTATCCCACTGCACAAAGAAGAGGTCCAGACATGGCCACAGCCATATTTTGTATTTTGAGGAGTCACATCTCGTTGCTCTGAAAGCTGTTATTGGACTCCCTGGGTTTTTAAAGCCAGGTACCTAAAAGTTTCTCCAAATCTGGAAGTTGTTTAAAACTTGTTATCAATCCACAAAAGTGACCATGAAAACAAGAATTACATCTTCTTGCAGAGAACAAGCTATTCCCTAAAGTACTCAAATTCACAAGACTGATACCACTAGTTCAGGACTGATAATTTCTAGCTTGCATGCATTTGCTTTTTTCCTTCAATTATCCTTCTTTTTCTGTGTAGCAAAACTGTTACAAAGAAATTCTGAAGTTCTTTGGGCACTGTGTCCCTCATACTTCATTTTTGATGACATGTCTGTTGACTATTTATGGCTGAAATAACAGACACACTGACATACTTCCAAGAACACTTTCTACAATGTAGGTAAAAAAAAATTAGAAGAAAAATGACCAAATTATTTTATTCATCGCCCTCTCTACACTTACTCATTAACAACTGTCTACAGAGCCATAAATGGAACAATTTTATAGAACATTCAATTAAAAAACAAAAAGCACCAAAAATACATTACCATACCCGGATTTTGGAAGCCTCTCAGAGTAGTAGGTTTTTTGCTTGAAATAGGTCTGAACAACAGGTTTCTGTCTCCAAATCTGTAACATCTTGCTGAGTATCTGAGAACTCTGTGTAAGTAGAACAAACATTTTTATTAATCATCTGTTTTTGTCCAATTAGGATAAGGTTGTTTACAACAATCTTTTCTTTCTAGAAATCCTTACGTTGGAATCAGCTCTTCTATTATAAAATGTATTTTCAAACAATGGCATACTACTAAAACCATATTTAGTCAATCCATTTTAGCATATATTACACTCAAATTCTATTATTTGTGGGGTTTTTTTTTGCCACATCAGAGAACAAAAAACTTTCTTAACATCTAGTTATCTAATCACAAAGATGCCTTCAGAATGCAATTAGTGTTGCTATTTTTTTTTCTCTTTTATTCTGCGAGAGAGTAATGTCAAATATGAAACAAATATGAAACAAATGTGAAAAAATCAAGATCTAATGATGACAACTTAAAATAAATAAACAACTTGTGGTGCCATGCATGCTTACTCTGTGTCAGATACCACACCAAAACTGAATACTTTCTGCCATTTGTTTTGATCAGAAAGCCAGTCCTAACAAAAATTACTGTAAATATTCATCTCTATAACTAATCCATGTTGGATAGCCTTGTTAGTAAATACCTTATCCAGTCTAGAGATCAATCTATACAGATCAGCCCATACAATATCTTGTTACATTTTAGGTGTGAATTAAACCAGTGAGTTGACAACACCATTTATCACATTTCATGACTTCCATAATGCTTTTAACTTATTTTCCAACAGTTTGGGATACAGGGAATCTGAAGAAGAGACTTAAATGTTACACCATATTACCACTTAGAATGACTTCAGTATCATTTTCAAAAAGACTTAAATGTGACTGTATCACTAAAACCTGCTAACTCTTCTATCTATGAAACAGACAATAGGTTTCACCTCATTCCACACCCTTGTCACTGCTGCAGTATTAACTGAATAGAAAATCTTGCAAATGTACTTTTCCTAACAGTAAAAGGAAGTAAAGATGTATGCAGATACAATATTTCAGCAAGACATTTCCACTTTCAGCTGGTAAATTTTCACAAGACATACATTTTCACTTTTTTCTAAAGTGGCATAATTTCAACTTACTTCTGATGGAAAAACTGCAGTGTGATTCAACTCAGAGGCATCTGCACTTTCGGGATCATATATCCACAAAATTAACTCGTAAGTATAAGAGAGACAAGAGTTAATATGTTTTGAAATATATATTAAAAATCTATCAATGTGACAACATTTCTTCTTCTGACAGCACATAAAACAACACAGCAACAACATCAACTTAAGCAACACTGATCCTGCAGACCAATCTTGTTTCTCATTGATGTCAATGGGCAACAGCTACTGAGGGAAACAGCACACATTTTCTCAGAAATAAAGGGGGAAGAGTAAAATTCATGCAGAGGATTTTTTTTCTCCCCTGTGGCCTTCATGTTTCCCTCAGAAGCCTTCCTCATGGGTGGCACAGTTATATACAGCCTGTTCTGCTGCAGCAGTGGAAGAGAGGTTACTCACTATTAAAACAAAACAGAATTTCCTTCTTGTCAAACATTGCAAAACTGCTACTAAAATGATGCTTCCATGACCGACACGGAGGTGACGCACTGCTCTTTCAGTCAGGCAGAAGGCAAGCACCTGGAATTCCCAGGTACATGCAAACAGGATCATTCTGTGAGGGGCTCTCCTCCCATTTACCACAAAGTAGAGCAGTGTAAGGATGTGCACGGAGGCAGCTATGAAACAGCAGACATGCTGTAAGTTTGCAGCACACATTTCATGCGCTGCAGTTTGCTGTTCATCTACTCAGATCAAAATGCCAAGTTGTACAATCTGTCCTTAGAACAGCGCAAACTGAGGAATCCTACAGCTGCTTTCTCAGAGGTGGGTGAATAGAACTTGAACAGAATATAAGCTTGCTTCCACACTTGTGAGCTTCCACCATTTCTAGCAGGCTGCAAACCATTTATAGAACAGTTATCTCAATTCACTTTGTTAGCATGGACATGTTTATAAGAAAAGTTTCCGTATTTCCTCAAATGATCCCAACCTCAAACAAAAAGGGGGAGAGGTAGGAAATAATTTATCTTGTAATCTCCTTATATTAAATTTGCAGATGTTATGAAATAAGGCATTTTATAAACCAGATATTAAATTACTATACCAATGGCACGTTTCATCATATTCACTGAAAGGGACACATTTTAAAAATCTCAAGTAAACACACAAGTTCAAAGAAATGAGTACAGTAGGTTGGCCAGTCTGCCAGTAGTAAGCATGAGTTTGTGTCAAAATTGTATTTCATAAGAAATGAAAACAGTTAAAGATCTAGATACAAATATGTGGTCAAAGAATGCATTCAAAATTAAATTCACCTGGTGCTCATTTAAGAAGAGTTGATCTGCACTACAAAAACAATAAAAAATACAACATTATTAAGAAACTTTCTATTGAATAAAACTATATAATATATATATATACATACAAGTTGTACACACATTATACAATTTAAATCAATCTGCTTGTTTCAGGTGTGTACATTGTCTACAACGTTATAATACAATGTGTTCAGCATCATGGCATTGGCTGTTCCATTGCATAAACATTTAAAGACAGATATCTGTATTTGCTGGTGGTTCTCATTTAAAAATATACTCTGAGCATCATTCACAGGCTTTTTTATAACGTGGTTTCCCTCTTACCAAAAATATGCACTGCTTAAAGAAAGCATGTCTTCTATAGTTCATCTAATTTAAAGTTACCAGATTAAAAAGATCAGATTGGAAGGAAGGATGCCTGTTGTATCAGAGCTATGGAGACTGAGCATTGTGCAGTGGATTGGGAGAACAATTTCCCTTTCCTGTCCCTCTTTGCAGTGACATGACAGGGAACAGAGCACTGGTCATGTTGGAAACAGGACCTCTATGCATCCTGCACTTGTGCTGCGGCTGGAACGGGGAAAATTCATGGGCTGCAACTTGAGTGGGAGAGGTGGGGAAACTGTTAGATATCTGATGTCAGCCATACATTAGGATTGCATTACATCAAACTCCACTAAACATCCTGGATGAAATGCTAACTCCCACAAAGTCACTGCAAAAACATCAACTGCTTTCACAAAAGGTGGTCAATCATTCTTTCAACAATTTAAGCAGAAAAATGTAACACAGAAATGTGTTTTCATCAGCATTTGAATAAAATATTAAGAAATTAGCAATTATATTCAAATTCAATGAAAAAAATTTTCATGTGAGTTCAAAACTAAATTTGCAATTTTCAGGTGCAGACACACGTAACTTCAACTAGTGTGACTGACGTATAAGAGCAGAAAGAAGTGTGATGTACAGCTCTTTCAGGACGAGAGACATTGCTGCCATGGCTCTTTGACTTCATGTCAATCATGTTTAGTGTTTGTTTTGTAAATATACCGAGTGCATTCCCTCCAGCAAAAGAAAGCAGAAAAAGCAACAGGGTGCTCTCTTTTGCAGTAATGTCTGGGAAATGCAAACACATTCTCAAGCAACATTAACATGGATCAAAAGAGAAAGCATGCAGGGAAGTTTGCTCTGGAATTGATGGAAATAATCCAAGTACAGAACTTAGTGGCTTTCTATTTAAATAAACAGATAAAACAGCATTGAGTGCAACCATATGATGCTTTATATTATACAGGAGTTACCAGAGGGGTTCAAATACCAAAAAGAAACCTACTGCTATGTTTACAGAAAGAGGACTTTGTATACTTATCTAATAAACAAATATATGCCATTACAATATTCCTGACTAGCATTATAGACTTCTTCCTCCTATATAAATAAAGTAAGCCAAATATCGGCGAACTCCGTGGATGAAAGGAGCAAAATATGAATTATTATTATTGCCTAAAAACTACTGGTTTTATGCGGGATCTCTATGGAACTTTTGCAAGAGTTTGATGATAATCAGACTTTTCTTTTTCTTAAGGCTTTGGAATATAAGGCAATCTATCTCTGGCAGGCTTTCCTACCCTGACAACCACCAACATTCCTGTTTGGACTTACTGTATTAAAACATGTGCTCTCATGCTTCATTACTTGTTTTTTTTAATTGATCTGCCGGCACACTCAAACAGCAGTGCACTCTCCCTCCACACAAATGGCAACTTCTGTTTAATATTTTAAATCCCTGGTTGAATACACGCTTTTAGCAGCAGCTTCGCTCTGGCACAGCGTTCCTCATGGACATGAGAAGGGGCAGACTGACATGTTTGCATTTTAAAATTCAAAAATCATTACTTTAACTGCATGAGAAGTACACATAGAGACTGTCTCACCTTCTTCCTTTCTCTGGAACGTTCTCTGGAATCCCACAATAGCATCCAAGATACTATTTATTTCTACAATTAGCTTCTTCCAAAATACATATTTCTGGACCCTACAAGCAAAATACCTCCACTTTCTACACTAAAGGGGAGCTTTTACTGTAACTTCAAGACCTCTTAGGCATATGTCCTTCAAAGCCTGCATCTTTTGATGATTAATCCCCCAGTTTTCTTTGTAATCTATTGCTAGTTAGCTGCCTTCTGTGTATGGGAACTGATGAGTCACGGCCTGAACCTCTGATGGATCACCTGAGGCGAGCCATGAGTCAGCCAGAGGAGCACAGGTGAATTGCCTTCACCTGTGCTGCCGGAAGGGGTGGAGCCTGGCTGCACCCCTCCTAGACCTATTTAAGAGCTGGCTACCAGTGAGGAAGGATTTCATCTGGAGATCCCCTCTTCTGGTGTTTTTTGTAGATGAACCTAGCATACAGGTAAGCCTTCCATTTATTCTCTTTTGTTACCATAATCTACTTTGCCTAACTCTTTTGTTTATTTTGTGATTGTAACACCTTAATATCTATTGATTATACACTTCTGCAATTGCCTTGAAACAGACTGAGCTCAGGCAAAGACTGGCTGCATGGTACCACAATATTGCATATAATCCATTTGTCAGTATCCTTCATTTTTAGGCCTCTACCAGGTACAAAATTTTCCCTTTTCCCCTTCTGTGATTTTTAATTCAATACAAAAACAAAGAAGTTCTAAATCTGACATATATGTATACACATATATATGCACTAACATATAACATTATCCAAAACTCAAATTCCAAGCTGAGATGTTTTTCATTTCTCCAAACAGATCATTTTAAAAATGCATCTTTTTTTTAGTAAAGACTATTATTATATATTTCCAAAAATATTCATGTAGAGAAAAACCTACCCTTCCATTTCTGAAGCTACTGTTGAACAGTACGTGAAACAATTAGAAGGATCGGAATCAGGCAAACACTGCTCTTCATCCTCAAAGGTCTAAAAGAAAGAGAGAGAGATGTTCTGCTTTGATACACTGCCTTCCTAGTGCTGTGGGCTTATGTTTTACTTATAGCAATAAATGTGCCTATATAATGCTCTAATACTTACAGACATTACAGAAAAAGACTTTGATTTATGAATAACCCAAATGAATTCAGTCAGACTATTTAGGAACTCAATGTCCCAAAACCTTTGTCACTGATCACATATGTAGGCTAGGATTCATGAACATGGATGCAACAAAATACTACAAATTCCCTGAATCCATTTAAAAGATTCTGCAGTTTCTTCTGATAGGTAACCATAATCAGGATTCAACATGAGCATCTTCAGAACCAATCTCCTAAAAAACCACTTATGTTCTTAACAAAATACTGAACAAAAAAATCCTAATTAGTCAGTTCTCAAGGGGGATTTTTGTTGGTAAACATGAAGGAAATCTGTGACAATATCCACATAATCTGTACCAATCCCATTTAACAGGCAGGAAATACCATTATTCCAGTTCCCTGTATTAATGAAGACTTTTGACACAATAAGAAATTGAATAACACATGTACAATGGTCTCTCATTTAGGGTTAAAATCCATAAAATTGCCCCGTATTTCTTAGCTGCAACCATACTGCAGAATGTGTACAAAAACAATCAATGGTCATTACAAAAGCTATTTTGAGATAGTTGAGGGTTTTTTTGTGATTATATGATAAGCAGCTGCCTTACCAGAGAAAATACAGTAAGCACACGGATCTCTGTAACAAGAGGAAATGGACATCAAAGGGATGAGTGTAACATGTTCAATATTTTAATAAAATAATAGGGGCTACCATAAATCTCAGAACTCACTGATAAAGCCTACAACCAAATGAGCCATTATTACATTAGTTAATGTAATAATAAACGCCATTCTTACTTGGAAGCTCCCCTTCAGCACCTTTATCCCTAAAGACAGTTATTTTGTAAACAGCTTATCCAGCTCAGGAACTCCATTCCATAACAGCCTGTGGGTGCTGTGAGAGACACCTGCTTTCAAACCATCACTGTGCACACAATGAGACTGCAATCAATTTTTATACACCTTATTTTGGCCATTTACCTCAGTCTTTTGGTTTTATGTGGTAAGTTCCAGAAAACTGACTCTTCAGTGTTGTTTTGGGTGAACTGCAGTTATTTTAAAAAATATAGACTGTACATAATAGAGTAGTTAACAACAGACATTTGTCTGAAAATCTACTTAGATTAAATCATGAAAAGTCAGCATTTCAGGGTTCTCTTCAGGAGTCTGTGCAAGAACTGTCTCTTAACAGACTATACAACCTAGCAGTTCAGTATTTAGGTTACAGGCAATCAATGTTTCCAAGACTAAAAAAATAGATAGTTTAGGGCATTATTTATAAATTATAAATTATTTATTAAAAAAAAAGTGAGAGAAACGTGAGCCTAAAAACATATAAAATATGCATTAAGCTTTTAGCTCAAGTTCTACCTTACCTGTATGTGAGCTAACTTTGCTAATGCACAGAATCAGTGACACTTGGAGGAAATTAAGAATTACATGACCAGTCTCTTTCAAGAGCTGTATAAACAAGCCCCCAAAGGACAGCCAGCTGGCAGGGCACACTTACCAGTCCTTAAACTATCTAAGCATGCGGAATGGTATGGCCCCTTCTAGATGCTTGCACATCCTGACTGCCTGTCTTTAAGGTCACACTTCACCTCATTAACCAGCCTGTTCTCATCCATCTTGTCCAGAAACATCAGGTAGGATTAACAGCAGAAGAAATGAAGGATTTAGCAGGTAACGCAGGTTAAAGATTAGCAAATAAAACAGACAAGAATGCATATTCTAACCTATATTTAACAACCAAATACAATCATAGTTGGTGTAGTAGATCTCACCCACAATTCTTAAGGCACTTCCAGGAGATGGTAAAGGCTGCTGTTTTCAAACAGATAAAGCTGATGTAAATTTGGAGCTACTGTGCTCCCCCCTCAAGGTGTTACTTTTGCAATGACCATTTTAAGGGAAAAATTCTAACAAAAACCAGACCTTTGAAGAAGAAAAAGCTTTCTGCCAATTTAACATCACTCTCAGTCAAATACTGCACAACATTTGGGTTCCTAAGAAATGTACAGACGTACTGCAGAAAGTTAATGACCCAAACTATCTATCACATGATGCATTCTATTAAGCTTCTAATGTCTGATGCTGTGAAAGGCCAAGACAGAGATTGAGAACAGTGAAATTCTGGGGGAACATGGTAGTAGAAGCTAATTTCTATTTAATACACCTACTTTCCCACTTTCCTATTTAAGTTTTTATGGTAAATATTGAAATTAAAATTGAAAACTCACTTCTTATCTATGAAGACAACAATTCACTTGCCATGCTTTCAGGGAAAATGGAATACATAGATCTGAGGAACTCACTTAAAATTTCTTTCCTCATTTTTCTTAGTATTATTACATTAAATAGCTGTCTCTGCAATTCATAATTTACAAATCTCATTTCCAAGCAAAGGATGTAGCTTTGCAACTTCTCAAAGAACAAATCCCAAAGTATTTTATTTTCCTGAGAATCTTTAGTCTTGCTTGTTGCTACCTTACTTGCACTTGCATACAAAGAGACACCTCTTTACAGTAGGTGGTTTGAAAATTTAAAAAGCATACTGTATTATCTTAACTATTCTCTCATTGAACTCAAAGTACGGCTGTTGTGATGATGTTTCTCATTTGTGAAGTCTTTACCTTTTATCTTCAATAGCACATGTATCATGAAAATCCCTCTCAGTGAATAAAGTTCCTTCATATTCTAGATCCATCTAACCAGAGTTGAAACAATTGCTGTGTGATAATCTATTGATTATGACATGTACAACTATTACTTTATAATGTGCTTAATCTTGTTTTTATCATGACAAAAAGACTAATGAATTTTACCAAAAATACTTATGGAAAAGTTTAACCTGAATAACTAATTTAAAAACAGGAATAAACAAGAAGGGATCCATTACATCAAGCACAATGTTCAAATAAAATGACATATTTCCTTCCTGTATAATTGGTTCTTGTCTCTATAAAGTAATTGGAAGATGAAGTAACAGCATCCTGGAGAGTTTGAAGTGCTAAAGATGTCAACATTGTCTGGTACAGTAATTCTTAAGGCTTTTCTGGACTATGGCACTATCAACCCATATATATATATATATTTTTTGTGAGCCACAATATATCTTAGATAAAGATGCCATATATGAACAGGAAGTAAAATTAACTAGTTTTTCATTAAATATTTCAATTACTTAATGTGATGAATTTCAACATTTTCTCATTTCACATAGTTCTGTAGGATACCTACAGATCACTTTTCCACAACCACTATTCCAGTGTAGGTATTTTACTCTGTGCAAAATATCTGAGCAGAAACAACTAGTTTTAACAAAAAACTTGTAGCATGGGCCATGTGTTCTGACATTTGCATTGCTGTGGTCTATTTATTTCTTCTATCTGTATTCTTTCAAAAAAATAAATCAAACTTACAGGAGGAAAAACAGTATCAGAAGAAATATTCATATCCTTCAGTTGTCTTTCAACATGTTTAATAATTATGAGTAAGGTCAAAGAAATAACACCCTGTGAGCCATAAGCCATGCTGAGCAACACCTAATAATCCATCAGACATTCTTGGATTTTTACATTCATGTTCACCCTTGATTGTTTGAACTACTGAAGTTCTTAGCTAAATTCTGCTCTAAACAATGTAGGCAAATTGTTCTATAACCCTTTAAAAAAAATCAGAATAGTTGAGATTAGAATTCATTAGAATAACTCAAAACATACATCTGTAACATTTCCATCTATATCTTCAACTCAGCTGAATGAAATACAACAATTATCTCACATTGCTCCCAGTTTGTGTTTGTTTATTAAAAGTTCCTGTTAGAGCCTCTTGAAGTTTATCAAGAGGCAGAAAATGACTAAAGTCAAAAGCCTGAATGTACCTGAGTTACAGTGAAATCTATCCTAACTATAACTTTCTCCAAGCAGGCACATTGAGCAATTCAGAAGACAATAAAACCTAAACTTTATCAGTGTACGTTTCTACCCTGGGTGCAGTCAGTTTTACGAAGTCAATACCATGCTTGTTAGTTCCAGAAAAAGCAGTCACATTTCTTCATTCCCTCCTTGGAGGTAAACTTTGCATCACCTCAAAATGCTCACACAAAGCAGATTTGGCTTGCTGAACTAGAAAAAAAGTTAATAGATCCCCTTTGTATTAGAAGAAAAAGAACTACTGTAATGTTGCAAGCTCTCGCTGGTTCTCTTGATCATATTAAACAAAATTAGTGCAATTGGGTACTTCTGTACAGTATTATTCTAAACTCCTCCTTATACTACAACTAAATGCCTATTTTTGACAAGGGGCATTACATGCCTGTTGTTTTTCTGCTTTGGTCAAGAGTTAGTGTTTTTTATAACTACACTACAAACACAGTGAATTGTGTAGATAATTTAGCATCTCTTGTGGTATTAGAGTGAAACCTCCCTTTAGTTTGCAAAGAAAAGGGAGGAGTGGGGGGAGGGATGGCAGATGTATATTAACTAAAAATTCTAAACCTCATCATACAAATCAGCATTGATTACCTCAATCTTCATTAAACACTTACATCTTTCCTGGAGGTAAAGAGTTCATAGTTTTCTTCCGCAGTTCTATCCCTACCAAGAAATCACACCAAAATATAATTTCAAAACTCGTCTGTAATGAATAAAAATAGCAGCAGAATGACAATGTGCATCTAGTACCTCTTTGGAAAGTAGCAATGCACTAATACCATGTTATCAGAACACTATCCATGAAGACTCAAATATATTTTGAGTT